CTCTCCTCTGGCAGCAGGCATCCAGGCTCCCAACCCCCACAGACCCCCCCACCCCCACCTCTCCCCTCTCAGCTCTAGGAATGACCCCCGGTGTCCAGGCTCCCCACAAGACCCCCTTTGCAGACCCAGGAGGGAACCCAGGAGTTTGGGGTGGGCTGCCAGGGGTGTCGCCCTGTTTGCCTGGCCTGGTGGCCCCATGGTGATGCCTCTCCTTTGGCCTTTGCCTTCCAGCCATGACGAGGATGATGGGGAAGACGCTGGTGCTGCTCTCAACCATTCTGGTGCTCCTGGAAGGTAAGTAGTACACAGGGTGGGGTGTTTGAGGTGGGGGGGTCTCTGCTCTCCCCATTGCAGGCTCTGAACTGGGGGCTGGGCCATGACAGCCCAGACACCTGGGCTCTCCCCAGCTCTGGGAAGGGAGAGAGGTCCAGGGTTTAGAGCAGGGGGGCCTGGGAGCCTGCTCTCCCTGCTCTCCAATAGCTGAAGTGGGAAGGGGCGGGCGGTGTCTGTGTCTCCCTGTGGCTCTGCTTCCCTCTGCTGTCTGCAGTTGGGCTTCATGCATGTGTGCATGTCTGTGTTCATAGGCAGGCAAGGTTCTTTGGGTAGATGTGATAGCGTTTATTAGACCACCTGAGTAGTTGGAAAAAAGTTCTTAGCAAGCTTTCAGGTGCAGTGCATGTTGGTGTGTGTCCCCTGGACACCTGAGCGGCGTGTGTGTGTGTGTCCGCATGTGAGTGTGTGTCAGACACCTGGGGTAGTGTGCACATGTGTGTAAGCACACACTTCTGCAGCAGCCATAGGAGGATCTCCAGCCAGGCCTTGTGTCATCTGGCTGTCTAGAGATGCGTGTGTGTGTGTGTGCATGTGTGCGTGCGTGTGTGCATGCACCCTGCAGCCCCCACCCCCCAGAGCCTTTCCAGGGCCCCAACCCCTCCCTGCCCCCCCCAGATCGCCCACCTGGGAGTTCCCATCCAGCTGTTGGACCCCAGGCACCTGCCCTCTTCCAAGGAGTCTGGATCATGTCCTTCCTTCCTCGGCCTCCAATCTCACCTTTCTCTGGCTGGAAGCGTGGCCGGGTTGAGGATGGCCCAGCTCCCAGGGCCACGGATGAATCTGTGCCGCTGCCCCTCTGCAAAATCCACCAGTCTCTTGCCAACCTCTGGCATCTGCTTACTCCGTTCCCCTCCCAGGGATGGGAGAGAACCCAGGCATCCGGGCTCCCAGTCCCAGCTCCCCCTGCCCTCACACCCCAGCCCCACTTCCCTCCAAAGAACCCAGGCATTCAAGCTCCCAGCACCCCCTGTTCTAACCCCACAGCCTCAACTCCCCTCCCAGATTCAGAAGAGAACCCAGGCATCTGGGCTCCCAGTTCCCCCTGCTCCTCCTTAGCTCCCCTCTGCTGAGACCCCTTCCACCTCCCGGCAGCCGGCAGAAGACCCATGTCAACACTCCCACGTCTTCTGCCAGCCACCTTCATTCCCTCAGCAGCCACCTCCTTCCCAGAATGTACTTAACTTGGTAAGAACAAATGCGGTCTTAGTCTTCCCTTCCCTCTTCCCTCTCAGGTGGCACCGAGGGCCGGCATGTGGGCCGGGACTTCATCACAGCTTTCATGCAGAACAGCGCCACGTCCAGGGAGCCCAGCTTCCAGCTCTTCATCACCGGCTTCTCCCCAGTCACAAAGGTCAGCGTGTCTGCCCCCAATGGCACCTTCCACAGCACTGTGATGGTGGAGCATGGGAAAACGGCCACGGTGCAGCTCCCAAACTTCGTGGAGATGTGGGGCACAGGGAGGTTCAACAAGACCGTCCTGGTACAAGCAGACCAAGATGTGGCTGTGTTGGCCGTCAACTACAAGCTCTACACGGTGGACACCACTGTGGTGCAGCCTGTGGGGAGCCTGGGGACAGAGTACTATCTGGTGACACCTAGTGGCAAAGTTGAAGACTCCTACAAGGAGTTTGCCGTCATCACGGGTCAGGTCCCTGCCACAGTTACCATATCCCTGACCGCCCCAGTGACCTTTGAGGAGCAGGTATACAAAGCTGGCGAGAAGCTCACCCTTCAGCTCCAGCCCTTCCAAGCCGTCCAGCTCCAGAGCCGGAATGACCTATCTGGGAGCCATGTGGTGTCCTCGCAGCCCGTTGCCATCCTCAGTGGCCACAGCTGCGCCTCCCAGAACAGCCCCTGTGACCACGTGGTAGAGCAGCTCCTACCTGTCTCCAGCTGGGGAAGCTCCTTCGTGGTCCCACCGTTGTCCTTCCAGCGCCGGTATGACGTTGTCTACATCGTCGCAGCCCAGAAGACTCGCATGAGCTACCGTTCCGGGAGGTCTTGGCGTTGGCGGGACATGGGAGCTGGGCAAGTTCAGAAGCTTGAGATCACCCGGTCCAAAGCCTTGTACATCACCTCCACCACTGGCATCCAGGTCTTATTCTTTTGCACAGGTGGCACCAGCCGGGGCATGAAGTTCGACCCCTTCCTCATCACCATCCCACCCATCTCTGACTACTGCCTCTCCTACCACCTGGACGGGCTGCAGGGCTTTGAGAACTATGCCCTTGTTGTGACCAAGAGCATGGCCAGCAAGGAGATTGCCTTAGATGGGCACCCACTGGCTGACATCAAGTGGAACGTGGTGTCTGACACAGAGTACTCATGGGCAGAGTATGGCCTGGGGGACAGAGGTGGCTCTCACACCCTGACGCACCCCAATGAGCCCTTCATGGCACTGAGCGTTGGGATCTCGTCACAGTACTCTGGCTATGGCACAGCAGGGCTCTGCGGATGCAGTAAGTCCCTTTAGCCTATCTAGGGGAAGTATCACCCAAATAAGGACCACCATTGGCCTGTCTAGGGGAGATACCACCCAACAACGACCAGCGTTGGCCTGTCTAGGGGAGGTTTCACATCAATAAGAACCACTCTTGACCTGTCATGGGGAGGTGTCATCCCAACAGGGACCACCATTGTCCTGTCTAAGGGATGTGTCACCCTAATAAGAACCACCATTGGCCTGCCTAGGGGAGGAATCATCCCAATAAGGACCACCATTGACCTGTCTAGGGAAGATACCACCCAACAGGGATCACCGTTGGCCTGCCTAGGGGAGGTGTCACCCCAGTAAAGACCCCTAGGTGAGGAATCATCCCAATAAGGACCACCATTGACCTGTCTAGGGGAGAGACCAACCCACAGAGACCACCACTGTCCCATCTAGTGGGAGTACCAGCTCACAACAGCCACCGTTGTGCTGTCTAGGGGAGGTACCAGATCACAGCGGTCACCTTTGACCTGTCTAGTGGAAGTATCACCCCAGCAGGGATTACAATTGTCCTGTCCCCAACAGGGTCCACTGTTGACCTGTCTAGGGGAAGTACAAGTCCATAGTGACCACCGTTGTCCTCGCTAAGGGAAATACCATCCAATGGGGACCCCCATTGTCCTGTTCAGCAGAGGTACCACCCAACAGGGACCACTGTTGTCCCAACTAGCGGTGGTACCAGCTCACAACAACCACCCTTGCCCTGTCTAGCGGTGTTACTACCATCTCACAGGAACTACCATTGTCCTATCTAATGGTGGTTTCACTCCACAACAACTGCCATTAGCAGCACACATGCCACTGTCCTGTCTAGCAAAGGTGTCACACCACCATTTTTGTGTGTAGATGAGATAACACTTCACAAGAACCACAGTTTTCTAGTCTAGCTGAGGTATCACATGACAACAACCATCATTTTCCTGTCTAGTTGAGGCACCACCACCCCACACGTCCCTCCCCATGTCCCATCCTAAACCATTTAATCTCCTGCCCCTTCAGGGGGTCTTCAGGGTGTGTTTCCACCCCCTACCACCTTGCATCCATAGCTCAGCAGCACAACCGTACTCTAGGAGATGTAAGTGTCATGACATGACCATAGCACAGCCAAAATAGTCCTCCGTTACCCTGACAATAAACAGTTTCTCATTAGGAATTGCCCCTCATCCTCCTTTAAGCCGGGTGTGGGGGCTTCTCGCCACCACACCGGGCTACACATTAGGGGTTTCATGGCCACCGTCTTTGCTTAACCTGCCACCACCATGTTCTTTTATAGGCAACCCCATTTCCTGTAGCAACACCACATGCCGGAAGATGGAAACATGCCAGGCCATGGACTGCCGCCCTGTGTGCATGCCCACCTCTGAGGCCTCCTGTCAGGCATGGGGGGCATCACGGTACCACACCTTTGATGGGCAGGATTTCGAGTTTGGTGGCACCTGCACCTACACCGTCACCAAGACCTGTGGCCCAGACAAGACACTGCCAGCTTTCACTGTTGAGGCCAAGAGCAAACAACGGGGCAATACACAGTCTACCTATGTCAGCAACGTGACCATTCAGGTCTATGGGATCAGCCTTTCCGTGGTCCAGGCTGAAGACGGGTTTGTGAGGGTAAGAGAGTGCTTGGTTTTTTTGATTCCCTTCTTAACAATGCCCAACATTTTATTGTAGCGGTAGAGTGTTGTTGTAGCCATGATGGTCCAGAACTGATGTGAGAAGCAAGAAGTTTGCAGGGTGATCTCTTTTATTGGCCCAACTATATACCTGGGATAAAGTCAGACAAGCTTTTATGTGGAAGACCTTCTTCCTCCAGTCTCCAATTCTATGAAACACAGAGACCTGAGGAAGGACGTCCTACATTCGAAAGCTTGTCTGACTTTATCCCAACTACTGAGTTGGTCCAATAAAAGAGATGACCCTAAGAAATCCTTGCCTCTCAGAACATTTGATTGGCTCTTTGCATACAGAGCTGATGTTTTTGGAGAGTCATTCAATCTCTGGTTGTACTAGATGATCTCTTAAGATCTCTTCCAGCTTTCCTTCTCCATGATCTGTGCTTAATGAGTGCAGGAACTCTCAACAATGATTTCAAGGTCTCTTTTCAGAGTCATCAGCGCTAGTTCAGAACCCAGTCTCATGTCAGTACACAGTGATATTTGTTGCATCTCTTTCTCCTCCCAAAAATGGGATTACAAGTTGTAATGTAACCCAAGTCATCCCAAAGTTTTAACCAGACCTGGCGAGCTAGAGCCAATCATTGCCAATCGACATCATCCACACCTTGAATTGAGGATGATCTCTACTGCAGCTCATTGGTAGGTTTTGAGTCCAATCTTTGAGCCACTGATCCGTCCACAGATGTTGCAAGTCTTTCCGCAAAGAATAGTAGGCCAAAGGCTGGGATTCTTCTCCCTTTCTTTCCTCTGCTCTCTCTTCTCTGCTTTGAGAGTGAAACGCTTTACCCTGAAACAGGGTACCACTTGGTTGAGGTTGCAGTGCCACTGGAGTTGGTTGGCAACCAGTTCCTCCCAGCTCTTGATGTCAGCATCCTTTTTTATTTTCTTGAGGTATTGGCATCTGTTTTCTCAAGGTACATTGATAACCTCAACTTCTCTGATCCAACAGGGCCTCTCTTCAGCAAAATGATGAGCTCAGTCATGAGCTGATCCAGGCTTTTGAAAAGGGGGGTGTATATAACACAGCCAGGAGCATATTTAGGGTGCCTCCCCTTTCATTCCCACTCCATCCAGACTTTACAAGCAACTGCTGGAAGAGGCAGCAGCATTTCAATTCAGGCAATAGATGATGGAGTCAATTGACTTCATGACTCATTGTCACCTCCTTGAATCCTGCTAATCTCTCCACTCCACAGGGGTTAACGACCCTCTCTGCTTTTTAATGGACTTGATGTTCTACTATTCAAACTCTCCTTTCTTCTGCTCTGTTGCTGTCTGTTAGCCAATCCTGGTCATGTCTGTCTTCCATTTCACAGCCTTGCAGACTGTTTTTAGCTCTAGCTAGAAAGCTTCACTCAGGTATGGTCCTATTAACTGAAGTGTGGAAATGATGGACAGTGAAGAATTAGAGGTGTGGCAAGGGCACTCAGGAAGGCTAAATTTTGTTTGACTAATCTGTATGAGACGTACATCTCACTATAATGGCCACAAAACTAATGGCACAATTTTTTTTTACTATTTTGACTATGTTTCGACTAGTTATGTCTCTTTAGATGGTGTGTATCAACTAGCAAATTACTACACATGCCAAAAAGTTATATTTGTTTCTGCTTTGACCTCAAACTGAATAATCCAGCCCTAGACCCCAAGCCGGTTTGGAAAACTTCTAGTTTCTCTTTAACTGGAGAAAAATATGGTCCATGTTTTATGCAATGAAGTTGCACAGAGAAAAATATGGTCCATGTTTTATGCAATGACCTTGCACCCCATCCACATCACCCACCTTTGCAATATCCAAGAGCTGCCCACAAACAGCTCATACCATATTGACTCAAATCCAAGACAAGCCTAAATGTAAGACACTGCGCCCCCCCCGCCCCCTCCTGCCAAATAACTAGATGTTATCATTGGAAAAAATTATGATTTGGTTTTAATTTTCCCTGTGTCAAATCTAATTATTGACAGGCCCTCTTTAATTCAGCCCTTCCACTGATGATGGGGGCAAGCAGTAGACGGGCAGGTGGTATGGGGAGGTCAAGCAACTTGCTCCCTGCCAACTCTGCCCCCTGCCTCCCCCCTCCCCCAGCCTCTGTTTCCTTCCTCCCAGTCCAGTCTATGCTCCTTGCTGGTGGGCTTCATCCCAGTTGTGGCCTGGGACACTGACCATGACTCCAGCCCAGCTCTGTAGCAGCTGTGTCAGCTCTGTGCCACTGCTATGGGTCCAAGCTGGGGCTGGACTCACTGCCCCAGGCTGCAGTATGCGTGGAGTCTGCCAGCACAGAGCAAATGTAAGGGGAGGTGGGAGAGGGACAAGCCAGGGAGCACAGGCTGCATGTGAGGAGGAAATGGGGAAAAGAGGGTGCTCTGTTACTCATAGGGGCATGGACAGTAGCAAGGCAGCCTGCAGCTGGCTGTAAACCCAATTAGGCGGCGCTGCCTGATTGGGAACAGGGCCCAGCTGATCCTTATAAGAGCAGGGCCCCGAACAGCAAGGCAGCAGTCTGCTGCCAGCAGCTGAAGAGGCAACACTGGCTGAGCTGCTGCTCAGTACAACCTGGAGGTAAGGGAAGGAGCTATTAGGGAAGGCAGAAGGCTCCTGGTTCTGGGCATGACTGGAAACTGCACCCTGCCAGGGAAGGGTGGTCTGGTGGGGCTGTCCATGGTGGGACAGCCCCCCAGAAATGCCAGGCCAATTACCTCCCCAGTGAAAGGTGGATAAGGGTGCCCAATAACCCCAGTCCCCCACATCCCTGGTGGGTAGTTTGATCAACGCAGGGGGAGCCCAGGATAACTGCAAGTACTGAGGCAGGGCCCAGGTCAGGTGGAGGGACCTGAGGCAGCACCCAGACTTGCAGTGGAGTCTGAACCTACACTATGGAGCCAGGAGTAAGGCTCCAAGGGGATGGGGTCCTGAGCCTTGGGGAGCTGAGAGGATCTCCTGGGTGAAGGGATAAGGGTAATAGCTCAGGGAGAGCAGATGGGATGGGGCTTGGAGCCCTGGTCCCATAGTGAGGGGCTCAGAGGCCTGGTGTGAGGGGCTTGGAGTCCAGGATGCTGGTTGGAGCCCAGTGTGAGGGGCATGAAGCCCAGTATGTGCATTGGAGCCCCATGTGAGGGTCTTAGAGGGCAGTGAGGGTCTTGGAGCCCAGCGAGAGGCTTGGAGCCCAGTGTGGGGGCCAGGGAGCCCTGAGTTTATTTGGGAACTTGATAAGGCTGGGTGTTAGGCCACGGAACATTTGCAAGGCATGGAACATGATAAGGGAAGATCAGAGTCATGTACATAGGCCCTTGTCACCAGGGCGGGTAAAGGGCAGCCTTCTGCCTGATTAACATCCAGTAATCATTAACATCAAGGCGTGGCAGATGAGGTGGGTGGGTGGTTAGCCCTAAGACAAGCGGATGGGTCAACATTTGATACCGGCCCCAAAGCGCCTACTTGTTACAGGGGTACAGATGGCAGCCGGAAGGGGACAGGCAGCAGCTGCGGCTACGGCCCTGACAGGGCTGGATCCAAAGTCAGAGCAGCTGCCTCCCCATCCTCATACTCAATTCTAACACAAGGGGCTTCCCCACCCCCCATGAGAAAGCAAAGGGGGTAAGAGTGCCCAAAAGCCCCCCCACTCACCAAGGGCATTTGGGAATGCCTGATTGCCAAAAAGGAGGCATACACCCAGTGGAAGGGAGGAGCTATCACCAAAGAGGAGTACACCTCCACCGCTCAGGTCTGTAGGAGAGCTGTTAGGAAAGCTAAGGCAGATACAGAAATAGGGCGAGCATCGAGGATCAAAGATAACAAAAAGTCCTTTTTTAAATATACAGGGAGCATGAAGAAGGCACCGGGTAATGTGGGGCCCCTGCAGGATATGCTTGGCAATCTGGTGGTTGGACCAGAGGAGAAAGCAGACCTCTTTAACAATTTCTTTGCCTCTATTTTCTTGTGCAGGGACCAGGACTCCCCTACCGAGATTCAGGATGGACTCAGGAGAAACTCTGCCAGGCCTAGGGTCAGGGAGGACTGAGTTAGGGAACTTCTAGAGGGCTGGACGTGTTCAAATCAGCAGGTCCAGATGCTCTCCACCCCAGGGTGTTGAGGGAATTGGCAGGGGTTATCGTGGGACCCCAGCATGGCTTTACAAGCACTTGTGGTACTCTGGCCAGGTGCCGAATGACTGGAAGAAGGCCAATGTGGTCCCCATCTTTAAAGAAGGGAGGAGGGAGGACCCGGGCAACTATAGGCCTGTTAGTCTTACTTCAATCCTGGGAAAACTCTTTGAGAAGATTATCAAGGAGCACATCTGTGATGGGCCAACAGCGGGGATGATGCTCAAGGGCAACCAGCATGGTTTCTTTAGGGGAAGGTCCTGTCAGACCAACCTGATTGTCTTCTATGATCAGGTCACAAAATCCCTGGACACAGGAGTCGTGGCGGATGTAGTCTTTCTGGACTTCAGGAAGGCCTTTGACACTGTCTCCCACCCCATTCTCATTAAAAAGCTAGGTGGCTGCAGCATTGATGCCTACACAGTCAAATGGATTGCAAATTGGCTGAGGGGTCGTACTCAGAGAGTGGTGGTGGACGGGTCATGTTCGACCTGGAGGGAAGTGGGCAGTGGAGTCCCCCAGGGCTCGGTCCTTGAGCCCTCACTATGCAATTTCTTTATTAGTGACTTGGACAACAGGATGAAAAGCAGCCTGTTTAAATTCACAGACAACACCAAGATTTGGGGTGAGGAGGGCATGCTAGAAGGGAAAGACAGATTACAGCAGGATCTGGACAGGTTACAGGGGTGGGCAAATGAAAATAGGATGGGATTCAATACTGACAAATGCAGGGTGCTGCACTTAGGCAGTAGGAACCAGCAGCATACCTATAGGCTGAACGTTACCTATCTTCATAGTCAGGGCAGCTAGGATCTGGAACCAACTTCCAAGGGAGGTGGTGCTGGCTCCTACACTGGAACCTTAAGAGGAGGCTTGACGTTTACCTGGCTGGGGTCATTTGAGCCCAGTTTTCTCTCCTGCCCAGGGCAGGGGGTTGGACTAGAAGATCTACAAGGTCCCTTCCGACCCTATGTCTATGAATCTATGAATCTATGAATCTATAACTATTGGAGTGTGCACTCAATTGCTAGATTACATATATAATGGGGTTTTTTTAAACCCCAACAAACTAGTTAAAAAATAGTCATAGCATCAAAGAGAAGTGGGGCTAGAAGGGACATCCAGAGGTAACATCTAGTCCAACCCCCTGCCTAAAGCAGGATCAGCCCTGTCCAAACCATCCCAGACACATCCGTTCTCTGACTTCTTAGCAGATCTATACAGTCAAACCTGACACAACCACTGCTGAGGGTGAGGACTGGGTTGTGCCAATGCTTCTTCTGCGACTTAAAGACTGAGTCAGGGTTAGACAGATTTGGGATCAGGAAGGAATTTTACACCCTGGTCAGTTTGATATGGACTTGGGGAGGGGTGTTGCCTTCCTTGGTAGTGGGAGCACGGCCTCTACCTGGGATCTCTTGAGCATCTATTAACAACCATTTCCAGCAGCAGGACATTGGCTGCCGTGGTCCCCCCGCTTTCTCTTTGCTAAGGTTGGGTGTGATGTCTGATGTCATGTCAGGGTTGACAGTAGCTTTACAAAGAGGTGAGATGCTGAATGTGTCTGGGAAGGTTTGGGCAGGGCTAATCCTGCATCAGGCACGGGTTGGACTAGATGTGACCTCTGGAAGTCCCTTCCAGACCTGCTTCTCTATAAAATCATAGATTCACAGAAAATGAGGGTTGGAAAGGACCCCAGGAGGTCACATCTAGTCCAACCCCCTGCTCAAAGCAGGCCCAGCCCAAACTACATCATCCCAGTCAAGGCTTTGTTGAGCCCTATGACTCTAATCATTGCGATAGAGGAGGATGGAGAGGTGGGAAAATGTCCTTGGATACTGACTGCAACTTTTTGGCCTGCAGGTGAACAACGAGAGCTTCCCCCTCCCTGTCACCCTTCACGGAGGCAAGGTGTGGGCGTACGAGAATGGGGCCTCCGTGGTCATTGTGACTGACTTCTCCCTAAGGGTCTACTATGACTGGGATGGCATCTTGGTTGTCAACATCTCCAGCAGCTTTGCTGAGAGCCTGTGTGGCCTGTGTGGGAACTACAATGGGAACCCCAAGGATGACTTCACCACCCTGGCTGGCACCCTAGCTGTAAGCCCCAGTGAGTTCGGGAAGAGCTGGAAAGTACCAGACGGAGACCTCTTTTGCTGGGATGAATGCCAGGGGGACTGTCAGTTGTGCCCCCCAGACCTGGCCAGTAAATACCGGGCTGAATCCTTCTGCGGCTGGCTCACTAAAGGGATAGACAGTCCTTTCAGCCAGTGTCAGCCCATCATTGACCCGCAGCCCTACGTGGATGCCTGTGTCATCAGCATGTGCCAGCAAAACGGTCACCAGGAAGCACTGTGCCAGGCACTGAAGAACTACACTGATGCCTGCCGAAGACAGGGGATCCCAGCCACTGACTGGCGGACACCCACAGCCTGCCGTGAGTCTGTTGGGCATGGGGAGAGGTGTGAGATAGTCCTGGGGTATGGAAGGGATGGGGAGATGGGAAACATGGTATGCATGGAAGAACATAGGATCATAGGGATGGAATGGATGCCACCTAGTCGAGATGTGAGCAAAGTGGGGTCAGGAGGAGGGAATGAACCAATGGGAAGACATCTGGGGTGGTGGAATCTTCTCCCATGGGGACCATATTGCTAGGGATGCATCCAACTAGCTCAGGAGGAAACTGGTGAAATGGTCTTCCCGTGAATAGGATGGGAGCTTTAGGGGTGCCAAAATAGGCAGACAGGAGCAGCAGCTAGGGACTTTTAGGTCCCCAAATCAGGTTAAAAAAAAATCCTCCACCTCCCCTCAGCATCTTCCCCCTTCCTTTCCATGCTCACTGTCACCTTTACATTCCCCCTTCCACTTCCTGCCATGGATGCCCCAAAATTGCTACTTGCCCTGTTTCAGCTGGGGTGTGCAGGGAGCCAGGCTCAGCTGGGGACAGCAGCAGCACACGGTTGGGGAAGGTGGGGAATCTTAACTGCTTTGGGGAATTAAAGAAAGTCCCCAGATGCTGTTCCCATAGCATAGTACAGAAGGTATGGGGAGTCCACTGCTGGATCACCCCTAGGTGGGTTGGACCAGGAGATGCCCTGGTGGATTGGGGCACTCTCCCCTCCTGACCCCCAGTGTCCCATCCCTCCCACAGCCCTGGCCTGCCCCGAAGACAGGCAATACAAGTTCTGTAGTTCCGCCTGCCCCGCGACATGTGACAACCTGCTAGCCCCAAAGAACTGCTCCCTGCCCTGCATGGAGACCTGCAAGTGTCGGGAGGGCTTTGTGCTGGATGCTGGGAAGTGCGTGCCTAAGGGCCCCTGTGGCTGTGAGTTTGAGGGGCGCATCTATTCCCCTGGGGAGAAGTTCTGGGGGGACCAAAACTGCAGCAGGTGGTGCCTCTGCAACCCCCAAACCGGGCAGGCCGACTGCCAGGAGGTGAGCTGCAAAACTGGAGAGGAGTGCCGGGTGGAGAAGGGAATCCAAGGATGCTATCCCGCCAACTACACCACCTGCACGTCCATTGGGGACCCACACTACATCACCTTTGATGGGCAGAGGTTCGACTTCCAGGGCAGCTGTCTGTATCAGCTTGCTGGGCTGTGCAAGAAGCCCAGAGACCTGGTGGACTTCCAAGTCTTGGTCCAGAATGACAACCGAGGCCTCAAGACTGTGTCCTTCACCAGAGTGGTGGAGGTCAGAGTCCACGGGGTCAATATCGCCATCAGCCGGGAGCATCCAGGACGGGTCTTGGTGAGTTCAACCATTGCTCTGTTCTTGGTCATTGTCTCATTGCATGTCTCAGAGTTGTTTCTCCCTGGTTTTGGCCATCACAACATCTCCTTCCTTCTTCACTTCCTCCTTCCTGCCCACATCCAGCCCCCAGGAGGCCTTTCAAAAACAAAGTGTGTATTCGTTGGGTGTCACAGAGTTTCTTCCTGGTTTCAGCCATCACCCTATCTATTTAGTTTCATAGGTGTAGGGTCGGAAGGGACCTTGTAGATCTTCTAGTCTGATCCCCTCCCCTGGGCAGGAGAGAACTGGGCTCAAATGACCCCAGCCAGGTAAATGTTGAGCCTCCTCTTAAAGACCCCCAAGGTAGGAGACATCACCCACCACTTCCCTTGGAAGTTGGTTCCAGATCCTAGCTGCCCTGACTGTAAAAGTAGTGCCTTCTAATGTCTAGTCTAAGCCTACTCTCTAGCAACTTATGGCCATTATTCCTTGTTACTCCAGGAGGCTCTTGGGGGAACAAGGTCTCTCCCAAACCCCGCTGGTCCCCCCTAGTAAGTCTATAGACAGCCACCAGGTCCCCCTCAGCCTTCTCTTGTGAAAGCCAAACAGGTTCAGGTCCCTTAGCCTCTCCCCATAGGGTCATGCAATCATCTTCCTTCTTCACTTGTCAGCACGTCCTTTCTTCCTTTGACCTGTATCTAGAGCAGGGCTGAAAGGGATAAGAGGAAGGATTTTCCAACCAAAAGAGGCTAAAGTTTTTCTACAGCAGCAGGACATTGGCTACTGTGGTCCACCTGCTTTACCTGGGGCAGGTTTGGGTGTGAGGCCTAGGGTTATGTCAGGGTTGATGATAGTTTTACAAAGAGGCTGGATGTTGGATGTGTCTGGGATGGGTTGGATGGGACGGTCCTGCCTCAGGCAGAAGGTTGGACTAGATGTGACCTCTGGACATCCCTTCCAGCCCTTCTTCTCTACGACTCTTGACTATGACTCCATGACCTTTGGAGGTCCCTTCCATCCCTACTTCTCTATGACTATGACTCTGTGACCTCTGAAGATTCCTACCAGCCCTTCATCTCTATGACTCTATGACCTCTGGAGGTCCCTTCTAGCCCTACATCTCTATGACCTCTGGAGGTCTCATCCAGCCCTGCTTCTGTATAACTAAGATCCTATGATCCCTCAAGGTCCCTTTTAGCCCTACTATGACTCTATGACTATAACTCTATGATCTCTGGAGGTGCCTTCCAGCCCTCCTTCTCCATGATTATGACTCTGTGACCTCTGGAGGTCCCTCCCAGACCTTCTTCTTTATGACTCCATGACTATGACTCTATGAGCTCTGGAGGTCCTTTCTAGCCCTACTTCTCTATGACTTGTGGAGGTCCCATCCAGCCCTGCTTCTCAATAACTAAGACCCTATGATCCCTGAAGGTCCCTTCTAGCCTTACTTCTCTGTGACTCTATGACTATGACTCTATGACCTCTGGAGGTACCTTCTATTGCTATATCTCTATGACTCTACAACCCCTGGAGGCCCTTTCTAGCCCTACTTCTCTATGACCTCTGGAGGTCCCATCCAGCCCTGCTTCTCTGTGACTAAGACTCTATGATCCATGAAGGTCTCTTCAGATTTATAAAACAATAGAAAATATTTATAGTGGATTTATAAGACAAAAAAAGTTATCAACCCAACTTATATTTTGATTTATAAGACAAAAGAAAGCCAATTTTAATTTGGATTTATAAGACAAAACAATTTATCAAACCAATGTATATTGGGATTTATAAAACCAAAAAACCCCAATTTCTATTCAGATTTATAAAACAAATTCATATTCAGAGTTATAAACCAAAAGAAAACAATTTCTACTTGATTTATATGATTTATCAAGCAAGTTTACATTTGGATTTATAAGACAAAATAATTTATTTCTATTTCGAGTTATAAAACAAAAGAAAACCAATTTATATTCAGATTTATATTAAAAAAATACAAAACTTTTACCACGGTGTAAAAGTAAAGGAAACCCATTTATCTTCAGATTTATAAAACAAATTTATATTGGATTTATAAAACCAAAAAAAAATGTATAGTCAGATTTATAGAACAAAAGAATTATAAAAGAAGTGTATATTCAAAATTATAAGCAGAACAAAACCAATTTCTATTTGGATTTATAAAACCAAATAATTTATTAAACAATTTTTATTCAGATTTATAAAACAAAAGAAAACCAATTGATCTTTGGATTTATAAGGCAAAACAATTTATCAAACCAATTTATATTTGGATTTATAAAACAAAAGAAAACCAATTTTTATTTGGATTTAAAAATCAAAATATTGTATAGAACAAATTTATATTCAGATTTAGAAAACGAACAATTCCAAAAACAAAATCTCATCTTCTTGAGTATCTTCATGGGCCTTCGATACTTCACTGCCCGTCATTTCTACACCTGATTTAATTGGTCCACACGTGAGTGAAGTTTTTAGCTAGAGCTACAAACAGGCTGTAGGGTGTGATCTAAAAGAGAAATGTCACCAGGAGCAGCTGACAGGCAGCAACATTGCAGAAGAAAGGTGAGCTTGATTGGTGGAGCATCAAACCCGTTAAAAAAGAGAGGGTTGGTAACACCTGAGGGGTGAAGAGCTTAGCAAGAATGGGGATGATGAGCTGTGAAGTCAAGTGATTCTCAGCCCTGCCTGAATAGAAATGCTGTGGCTTCTCCCACCCACTGGCTTGAAAGTCTGTGTGGAGCAGGGATTGGTGGGGCAGGGCAACTACACCACTGCCACCCCTCACCCCGCCCCGATTCCACCCCAGCAGTGGCTGCATTTTATTGCTGATGCCCACTGCCAATCTCTGACCCCTCCTAGGTGAATGGCTTGCTGACCCACCTGCCCTACAGCACCGCTGGGAGCCAAGTAGCCGCTTTCAGGAGGGGCCAAGAGGCTGCAGTCCACACTGACTTCGGCCTCACTGTTGCCTTCGACTGGCAGAGCCGAGTAGTGGTCACCCTGCCCAGCACCTATGTAGGCACTGTGTGCGGCCTCTGCGGTAACTTCAATGGGGACGGGAGCGATGACCTGCTCATGAAGGATGGCAGGGCAGCCCCAAGCCCCACAGCCTTTGGACGGAGCTGGAGGGCAGAGGCAACGCCAGGGTGCACTGAGCCCGATGCACCACGATGCTCCCACTTCTTAGCCATTGAAAGGAAGCAGAGACGGTCGGTCACGGAGTGTGGGATGATTCGCAACCCGGCTGGGCCCTTCCGCGCCTGTCACGGCACGGTGGACCCCCAGGGCTACTTCCAGGACTGTGTGTATGACTACTGCTTCTACCGGGGGCACCAAGGCATCGTGTGCCAGCTCGTGGCTGCCTACGCCACCGCATGCCAGGCTGCCGGGGTGGCTGTGGAGACCTGGAGGTCCAAGACCTTCTGCAGTGAGTGTTTCAAATCAGGTCTCTCCTAATAGGATCAGAGTATCCCCACAAAGGGGAAACGAGTTGGTGTCATGTTCAGTCCAGCTTGGCGTCCCTGGGTGAGCTGGGGGTCAAAAGATTTTGAGTCAAGAGGGGCCAGGAGCCTGGGTGCCTGGGTTCTCTCCCCAGCTCTGGGAATTCAGTGGGGTCAGGGGTGTTAGGGCAGCGGGGGTCTGGAAGTCCGGACGCCTGGATTCTCTTTCCACATCTGGGGGTGACATCAAATGGGGTAGAGCGTGGGAACCCAGACACCTGGGTTCTCTCCCCAGCTCTGGGAGCACGGAGTGAGTGCTCATGGGTTACAGCAGAGGGGCTAGGAAACAGGACCGCTGGGTTCTATTTCCACTCCTGCTCTATGCTCCCCCACCTATCTGCTGCTCTACTTTCTGCTCCTTGCCCTGTGCTCCCAGCCCCACCTGCAGCTGGGCTTTCCACTCTCTGCCCCATGCACTGCTCTTCTTTCTGCCCCCTGCTCTATACTCCCTGACTCATCTGTTGCTCTGCTTTCTACGCCTTGTCCATCTGGTGCTCTGCTTTCTGCTCCTGCCTCATTGGCTGCTCTGCTTTCTACTCCCAACCCTGTACTCTTGGCTCTGTTTGATGCCCTTCTATCTGCTCCCTGCCCACCACTTCAGGCCCAATCTGCTACTCTGCTTTTTGCTCCATGCCGCATCAGCTGCTCTGCTCCTCCTCATGTCCCCTCTTGCCTTCCCCCACAGACCTCCCCTGCCCCCGTGACACCCACTACGAGTTGTGCGGCCCTGGCTGCCCGGCCACCTGTCATAACCCCTCCTCTCCGGCCACGTGTGATGCACCATGTGCCGAAGGTTGCTTCTGTGATGCTGGCTACGTCCTGAGTGGGGACCGGTGCGTGCCAGCTGGGGAGTGCGGCTGTGTCCACCAGGACCGTTACTACAACAAAGGGGAGATCTTCTACACTGATGCCTCCTGCCAGGAGAGATGTCAGTGCCAAGCCAACAGGACAGTAATGTGCCAGCCAGCCACATGTGGAGCCAGTGAGGAGTGCCGCGTGGAGCGGGGCATGCTGGGCTGCCACCCCACACGCCAAGGGAGCTGCGCAGTCACAGGTAGCTCCCACTACATCTCCTTCGATGGCCGGGCCTACGATCTCCAGGGCTCCTGCGCCTACATCCTGGCCCAAGACTGTGGTGGGGACCAGGGGCCAGGGAACTTCTCAGTGGTGGTGGAAACCAGCAGGCCCAGGGAGGGCAGCGCAGCCCTGGCCAGGGCAGTGGTGGTCTCAGCCTGCGGCCACACCGTGGCCCTGGAGAGAGGCATGCCCTGGAACGTCACGGTGAGTCTTCCCAGCACGAGCCTAGGTTTTGGTGGTGGTGGTGTGTCCTGGGCCCAGACCATGGCTCTCAACCTTCTTAGAGGCCAGATCTCCCTTGTTAGAGTCCATCACCCCTCATTAGAGTCCAGGGCCTCCTCGTTAAAATCTAGACTTCTTTTTAGGCTCCAGGGACTCCCCCACCCCCACCCACTCCCAGCCCATTAGACTCCATAACCCTTTCCTGGACTCCAAGTCCCAACTTGTTAGACTCCAGGTACTCCCTCATTAAATGCCAGATGTCCCTTGTTAGGCCCCATCCTCCCTTGTTAGACTCCAGAGGTACTCATTAGACTCCAGATGCACTTATTAGATGACACTTCCACTCCTTCCCCACCACCCCACTTGTTGGACTTCAGGCTTCCCTGTGTCCCCTTGTTGTCCCACCGGGCTTGGGTTGTGAAACAGCAGATCCACTGGGCTTGTATGTGTCCCAGTTGCCCGGGGGTGGGTGTGTGTGTGTGTGTGTGTTGCATGAGACGGGGACACCTGGGTTCTGCATGTGTGTGTCTGTGTCTGACATGGATGACTGGAGTGTGCGTGTGTGTTTGTGTGTGTGTGTGGGAGTCAAATCCTGGGTTGGGTGTATGCATGTACACACATGTGTTTGTGTCCTGGATGCCTGGGTTCTGTGTGTGTGTTCATGCGTGCGCATGCGCATGTCCTGGGTGCCTGGGAGTGTGCGTGTGTGTTTGTGTGTGTGTGTGGGAGTCAAATCCTGGGTTGGGTGTATGCATGTACACACGTGTTTGTGTCCTGGATGCCTGGGTTCTGTGCGTGTGTTCATGCGTGCGCATGCGCATGTCCCGGGTGCCTGGGTTGTATGTGTGTGTACCTGTTTACATGTGCGTCCTGGATGCTGTGGGGGAGGGTTGTATGTGTCTCAGATGTCTGGGTTCTGTGTGTGTGTGTGTGTGTGTGTGTGCGCGCACACTCATCCCAGACACCTGAGTTGTGAGTGTGTGGGCGTGTGTGGGTGCGCACATGTGTCCCAGATGCTGGTGGGGGGGAGGGGGGGAGGGAGAGAGAAGGAGAGGGCAGGTCCCAGCTAACGACTTCTGCACAGCTGATGAACTTCTCTCCCATTTCCCCAGGTGGACAGAGAACTCTACACCCTGCCCCTGTCTCTGGATGATGAGAAACTTTGGGTCAACCAGGAAGGGAACAACATCATCATCCAGGCTGCCTCTGGCCTCCAAGTCCTCTACGACACCTCCTCCTATGTCCTGGTGACCGTCCCCAGCACCTACCAGGGCCGCTTGTGTGGCTTGTGTGGCAATTACAACGGGGACGAGAATGACGACTTCCTGCTGCCCACTGGGAAGGGCACCCAGAACGTGGATGAATTTGGGGCCTCCTGGAAGGTTCCAACAGATGGTGTCACGTGCTCCGACAGCTGTGGAGACCAATGCCCCATCTGCGATGAAACCAAAATGGCACCCTACCTGGCCGAGACCTCCTGTGGGCTCATCCCAGCCACATCTGGCCCCTTTGCCAGCTGCCACTCGCTGGTCAACCCCAACCACTACTTCAACCACTGCGTCCACGACATGTGTGTGGCCAGCGGGACCCAGGAGACCCTCTGCCAGAACCTCCAAGCCTATGCAGCTGCCTGCCAGGTGGTCGGAGCCCAGATCAGAGCCTGGAGATCCTCCACATTCTGCCGTAAGTTTTCAGAGGTGCCTACAGCCATCACTTTTCAGTCAGTGGCTTCCTTTGCATAGACTCAGAGAAGAGCCAGGCTGGAAGGGACCTCCAAAGGTCATGTCCCTGCTCCAGGCATGATTGGCTCCATCAAAACCATCAATCCCATTGCCTCAAAAGTCCTCGAACCTGCCCCAGGTGAAGCGAGGGGACCAGGGCTGGCAGTATCCAGCTGCTAGGGGTGAGGCGGGGGGGCATTCAATACCAAGCAGAAGCCATGCCTCCTGCTACAAAGGCAAAGTTCCCCCAGTCCATACCAGTCTGAATCAGAACCTCCTGGACCTCAGTGCTGGAGGATGCTAGGGAGAGGAACGGATCAGACCCAGCTCACTCTCCCCTCCAGCCTCCACTCCTTGCCACCACATGACACAGGCCTATTTGTCATCCTCCGGGGCGTGGGCCCAGGCTCACCAAGTAACCAGATGAGGAGGCTACAAAAAAGGATGGCAATTGATTACTGGGGACAAATCATAAAAAAAAAAGGCACAGGAGTAGAGGTCAAAGGTTCAGAAACAAGTGGCATGTTGCGTCTACACATGCACTTTAATGTGCATTAGTCTATTTTAATGCTCATTAAAGTATCACTAAAAAAACCACCATGCTATTTAGTTAACATGCATTAAAATAAGCTAAAGTGCATTAAGTGTCACTTAAAAACTATGGGCATTTTTTTACATATGCTGTAGGACACGGCACCGGGCGCTTTAATTAGCAAGCTGTGCTAATTAAAAGTGTCCACATGTCACGCATATCACATTCCTGGGCTGAAAAAATGGTGGTGGTGCACTTTGAACTAAAGCTCATCGTACATGTTTTATTTCAAAGTGCCCTACCACTGTTTTGTCTGCATGGAGACGTGCGGTGACACTGATACAAGTGATGTGGGAGTCTGCTCTGACATGCTGGAATTGCACTTCCCGCATGTATATAGGAGCCCCGTGCTCTTTAGTTAATGCATATTAAGACAGGCTGATGTACATTAACACAATGGAAATACTAGATTTAATGTGTATTAACTAGAGTGAATTAAAACACATGTAGACATGAAGAGTGCCAAGGGGTGGACACCGAGCAGAGCACACCAGACAGCACACACTGGCTCCTGAATGAGTCCATGGAGCCAGTGGGCACTGCCCAGTGATGCTTTCCCCGGAGACGGGAATGAAGTAAGGTAAGGAAAGTGTCCCTATGGTCCCCAAGGACACTCCTGGCCAGGGCCTCCTTTCTCATATATAGCCAAGCTGGCCAGGGCCAGGAGGAGGTTGACCAGGAAGTCCTGGGCCTTGGTGGGGCCACAGGTGGGAAGTGCATAAATGAAGAAGTGAGGGGAATAGTGCAGGTTCTGGGGGAGGCAGTGCAGGGGCTGCCAGGTAGGTGTGCGCCAGTGTCCCCCTCTGCTCACAAAAGGGGCAGGTGTCGGGGACATCTGTGACCCGCTCCAGATACACACCCGTGGCGATGGCTCTGTGGAGGAGCTGCTAGCTGAGGTCCCTGGGGGCTCGTGGGATCAGGGTGGAGTACAGACTTGTCTACCTGGGACCCTCACCTGCGGTGTCCCACTGCTTCCACGTGACACAGGAGACCAGGGCATGATGGACCTAGGGTCCCATCCAAGACAGGGCCACTCTTCTGTTCTGATGTGGGAGGTAGATCAGAGCCCAGAGGGTCCTAAAAGAGAGGAGCAGGGACTGGGGTCAGACAGGAGCAAGGCAGAGGGCCAAGGAGCACTAAGTTAATGTGCATTCAGACAAGCTAATGTGCATTTACACAATGGAGGATGCATGTGCACGTGTACTTTAATGCGCATTAGCCTATTTTAATGTGTGTTAAAACATCACCAAAAAACTCATGCTCTTTACCTAATGCACATTAAGATAGGCTTAATGTGCGCATTAAGATAGGCTAGCCCAGTTTTCTAGTACCTCACAGTGGAGGTACTAGACTTAATGTGCATTACCTAAGTGCATTAATTGAACGTATAGATGCACCCAGAGATACTAGATTTAATATGCATTAACTAAAGCACATGTAGACACCAAGGAAGTGGGAGAGGTTTGAGAGCCCTCCTATCAGGGGCTCAATAGGTCCCCCGGGGTCACCCAATTACTTGTGAAGCTCCTCAAAGGAGCCACCAGGTCTGAGCAGGGCTGAGGTCCCAGCCACCTTGGGTTCAAATCAAGGTCCCAACAAGGCTGCCCCAATGTCAGCTGACCTCCTTGCACCCCCTGGATCCGCTGGCGCTTCCCACTCCACCCCCAGCTGTGTGCAGTGGTCACACGCCTCTGCTTGTCTTCCCTCTCCAGCCCTCCTCTGTCCAGAGTGGAGCCACTACGAGCCCTGCACCCACTCCTGCGCTTTCACCTGTGCCAGCCTGGCTCACCCAGTCCAGTGCACGCAGAGATGCTATGAAGGGTGTCAATGTGACGATGGCTTCCTCTTTGACGGGGACAAATGCATCTTCCCGGAGACCTGCGGGTGCTTTCACGACAGGAGATATATCCGGGTAGGCCCACCAGCTATCCCGCAGTGCCCTAGGCTTTGCGTACCCCCTCTGCCTGCCCCACAGCTTCATCATTAGAATCCAATCCAGGAGAGACAATTAGAGGGTGGCTGGTTCCTAGAAGGGCTCCTCTTATGAAGGAGTGGGGCTAGAGGGGACCTCCGGTCATCCATGCCCTGCCAGAGACAGGATCTATCCTGTCCAAACCATCCCATCCAGATCTATAGCCTAACCCAGAGCCCTGGATTGGGGCCCTGGACTCCTGGGTTCCATCCCAGGTCTAGGGGATTTGGGGCCTAGACTCCTGGTTCTACCCCAGGTCTAGGGGATTGTGGGAGCCCGGGTGCCTGGGTTCTGTCCCAGGTCTAGGGCATTGGGACCCCGGATGCCTGGGGTCCATCCCAGATGTAGGGGATTCAGAGCCCAGATGCCTGGGTTCTATCACAGCTCTAAGGGACTGGGGGCCGAGACACCTGGGTTGTATTGCAGGTCTAGGGGATTGGGGCCCCAGATGCCTGATTCTTGCCCAGGTATAGGGGATTGGGAACCTGGATGCCTGGTTTCCATCCCAGGTCTAGGGGATTGGGAGCCCACATCCCTGGGTTCCTTCCCAGGTCTAGGAGATTGGGGGCCCAAACTCCTGGGTTCTACCCCTGGCTCCAGGAAGGGATTGGGGCCTGTGGGTCAGAGCAGGATGGGCCGGGAGCCTGGACACCTGGGTTCTTTCAACCACAGTCGGAACGGACCCCAGGGCCCGGGTCTCAGCCCTGGCATGACTGACACTGCCCCCCTCCACCTTCTTTCCTCAGTCCCAGGCAGCTGTGATGACCCCCAACTGCACCCAGCGCTGCCCCTGCCACCTCCGCAGCGTCCTCCTCTGTGAGGGCAGTGCCTGCAACACCAGGCAAAGCTGCACGCTCAGCGCCGGGACCTGGGGCTGCGCCAGCCAGGACGGACTGTGAGCACCGGGGCCGACCCCCCAGCCCTGCCACGGGACCAGCTGGGATGCCTGCCTCCCCCACACACACTTGCCTCAGGGGCCAGATCCAGGATACTACCAGTGCCACCCAGCGGGCGGCTTTCCCGTGTTTGGAGAACTGGGGGCAGCCACAAGGTGGTGCCATTGTCTTAGTTGTGCCCCCCGCCCCCAAAAGCAATGGGGTTTGGGAGGGTAGATCAGTGGTTCTCAACCCTTTCAGACCCCATACACCCTTGCTAGACTCCAGGTACCCCTTTGTTAGACTCCATATCCCCTTGTTAGACTCTGGTCTCCCTCGTTAGACTCCAGATATCCCCTCATTAGACTCCCAGGGCCCCTCATTAGGGGGCTCCTCTCATTAGAATCCTCCCAACTCCCTCATTAGACTCTGTACCCCCTTGTTAGACTCCGGACTTCCTCATTAGACTGCAAGCCCCTCCCTCATCAGACTCCAGACCCCCTCATTAGACTCCAGGCCCTCTTGTTAGATTTCAGGTTCCCACACATTAGAAGCTGGATCCCCTGAGTAGATTCCAGACCCCCTCATTAGACCCTGTACCCCCTCATTATACTCCAGATCCCCTCATTATACTCCAGACCCCCTATGTTAGATTCCAGACTCCCTCATTAGTCTCCAAACCCCCTCATTAGACTCCACACCCCTCTGTTAGATTCCAGATCCCACCTCATTAGACTCCAGACTCTCTTAGACACGTCCTGGTCCAACCGATCCCCCCAGCCACACTGTCACCCACCTCCAGGGCCCGTTGCCTCAGGAAGTTGGTCCCAGGAAAAACAAAGAGACAGAGATCACGGTTGTTACTGTATTTTCTGCATTACAACATGTACCCCTCCCCCCACCCCCCAAAAAAGCAGATGTGTCATACATGAGACATACGGTAAGCAGCTAGACCCCCAGCCCCAGACTCAGCCCCGCACCCTGGATCCAGCCTCGATTACCTGTGAACTGCCAAACGCAGCTAATAAACACCCAGGTGAAGCCCCTGGTCTTTCTCCTTGCAGCAATGGGGCTTTGCGGGGGCGGGGGGAGGCTTGGGACCAGCTCCAGGTGTCAGTATGAAGGGGGCAGGGAGAGAACCCAGATGTCTGGGCTCCCCATCCCCCTGCTCTTCCAACCCACACCCCCTACCAGAAAACCCAGGCATCCAGGCTCCCAGCCTCAGTTCCCCTCCCAGACCTAGAGAGAACCCAGGTGTCCGGGAGGGAAGCCAAGTATCCGGGCTCCCAGCCCCCCCGCTGCCCCTTTCTCACCCCCCAGGTCCTCCAGAGAGCCCAGGTGTCCAGGCTCCCAGCCCCGCCTGCTCTCACCCCACACCCCAATTCCCCTTCCAGAGCTAGACAGACCCCAGGTGTCCCAGAGGGAACCCAGGTGTCCAGGCTCTCTCCCCACGCCCCGCTCTCACCCCCCAGCCCAGGCACCCAAGACCTGCAGCCCTGCCTGGCACCACCAGGGGGCAACCCCGTGTCGGGCCCAGGTGAGACAGGGCAGGGTCCCTGAGTGGCAGGGAGGGGGGCGAGCAGGGGGAGCCGGGACACCTGGGTGCTCTGCAGCTCTGGGAGGTGGGGGCCGGGGGTTGAAAGCCGGGGGCGGGGCTGGGAGTCTGGACACCTGGGTTCTTGAGGGGGTTTTACCTTCCCCTGGCACTGGCGTATCTGCCCTCTCCCATCCTACCTTACCCCTAAACCTCCGAGGCCCTAAGACCCCCCCAGCCATGGGCGCAGCAGGACCTGGATTACAACCTCCTACTGCTGCTGCCCCTCTCCACCCCAGAACTAGCTGCACCTCAGGCCTAGAGTGGGGATGGCCCAAGGGGTTTGGGCACCACAGGGCTGCTCTTGGGGCCTGATCCCCAGGCTGGGGACCTGGAGCAAGGCCCAGGCAGCCTGGGCCCCCCTGGGGTGGGTAAGGCGGGGAAGGGGGGCAGCCAGGATGTGGGGTGGCAGGGAGGGGTCTCCCCCGGACACTTGGACACCTGGGTTCTGCGGGTATGGGTGGGGGGGGCATGGGGTACATGCACTCATGCATCCTGGATGCCTGGGTTCTGTACTCCCCCGCCCCTTGGCACTGTAGCTGGTCCCTTTCATGGGGCGGGGGGGCAACATGGGGGTTCCTGACTGCCCAAAAGCAAATCCCACCTGCCCAGGGGCATATCCCATGGGGAGGGGAGGTTACTGCGGACATCTCCCTTGGCTTAGAGTGGCCCTGGGGCTCCTAGGCCAAAGGGAGGTGTGGGGCAGGGAGGGAAACTGAGGCAAGGTGGTTCTGGCAAAAGTAAAAGTAAAGAGGCAGTGGCATAACCCACTGGAGAACCCAGGCATCCAGGTTTCCAGCCCCTCCCCACCCCTGCCCCACTCTCACCCTGCCAGACTCCACTCCCCTCCCAGAGAACCCAGACATCCGGGCTCCCAGGTAGCCTGTTATAACCCCCTAGCTCCCACGCCCTTCGCAGAGAACCCAGGCGTCCCGGCTCCAAGCCCCCCGCTCTCGTCCCCCAGGATCCAGAGCTGGAGAGAACCCAGACATCCAGGCTCCCAGCCCCTGTGCCCCTCCCGGAGCTGGAGAGAACCCAGGCATCCGGGCAGGGGCACATCCGGGTGGCTGGGTCCGGGCCTGGTTTCGGCCCTATTGTTATCCCGGGTTCCCTGCTCCCCTGCACTGGATAATTGGGGTGGGTGGAGATGGGGCAGGAACCTTTGTTCTGTTGAACAATAGCGGGGGGGAGCTGCCCCTCGGCCCGCCCCTCTGCCCACCCCCCTGCTCAGCTCAGGGCTGGTGGGGAGTAGCCAGGATCTCCAGGCCTACTGCTAAGATGCAGCCAGTTCTGGGGTGGAACAGCTAGGAATGGCCACATAGAACACAAAGCTGCATGGCTCCAAACACAGTCAGTTCTGGGATCTGGCTACATATAACAACACAGAGAAGGCCTCCCCAGCCTCCTCCCTGCCCACAAATGCAGCCAGCTCTGGGGTGGAGCAGCAGGGGAAGAGCTGCATAAAACAGCACAGAGAAGGCTTCTTTGGCCCTGATGCAGCCAGCACTGGGGGGAGCAGTTGGGGGAATGGCCGCATATAACAGCACAGAGAAGGTCTCTCCAACCTCCCCGCCACCCCCAATGCAGCCAGCTCTGGGGTGGAGCAGCTGAGGAACAGCTGCATATAACAGCACAGAGAAGATTTCTTTGGACCCAAGATGCAGCCAGCTCCAAAGGTGGCGGGGGAGGGAGAGGGAGCAGCAGGAGAATGCCTGCATATGACACTGCCTGGCAAATACAGGCTTACCCATGGAGTGGGGGTATGGGGCGGGCGTCACGCGCCAGGCACCACCTGGGGCAGCGCGTCCAGATGGTATCGCATGGCAGTGGCTTTGATGCAGTCCCGGGGAGGGGGCTGCTGGGAGCCCAGACACCTGGGTTGTCTCCAGCTCTGGGAGGGCAGTGGGGGCTGGGGCTGAGAGCAGCGGGGCCTGAGAGCCCAGACACCTGGGTTCTCTGTGAAGGAAGTGGGCACTGGGGGTAGAGCGGGGGGCACGCCTGGGTTTTCTGGGGGGTAGAGCACAGGGGTGCTGTGAGACCTGGGTTCTCTCCTGGCTCTGGGCAGGGAGGGAGCTCACATGGGCTGGGAGCCCAGGCCCAGGGCTACCCAGAGGCCTCTGTCCTGCTGCTTGTGCCCTGGCAGCTGTGGCCAGCCTGGCCCGAGGGCAAGAGGGAGCATTCATACCCCAGCTGAGCCCAGAGTCTAATAGGGGGTCTGGAGACTAATGGAGTGGGGTGCAGTCTAACGAGGGGGTCACCATCTGTAATGGAGGGCCCCACAGAGCACGTTCTGGTGACCCCGGGGCCAGGCACACGGGATCCCCCGGGGGGGCATCCGGGGAGTTGGACACAGGTACATGGGGGGCCTGGCTGAGAGACCCTGACCTGGGTGCGTCGTGGTGTGTGTGTGTGTGTGTGTGTGTGTGTGTGAGGTGCCTGGGTTCTGTGGGTGTGTGTGTCCCAGGCATTTTGGTTGTTGTGTGGGGGTGGGGGTGTCCAGGATGCCTGGGCTCAGGGGGGGTGGTCCCTGTCCCAGAGACCTGGGTTCTGAGCGTGTCAGGGAGGGCGAGTGTGTGTGCGACGCATGCCTGGATTCTGTGTGTGAGATTATGTGTGTACACGTGTGTCCCCCAGACACCTGGGTTCTTTCTGTGTGCATGTGACCCGGACATCTGGGGGGGGGTGCACTCATGTCTACATGCACAAGCTTGTGCTCACACGCGTGTTCACATGTGTACATGTATCCACCCCCATGTGACCAGCTCCACCCTCACACACCACCTCTCCCACCCCGGGCCCAGGGGCCAGATCCCCACAGCCCCCTTGTCTAATGATATGCTTGTACTATGCATGGCTGCTTTGCATCCCCGCATTGCTATGCACAGTCAGGGGCTGGGCATTGTACAGCACCTGGAATGGCTCCAATCCTGGCTGCGGGGGGGGGGGCTGGATCTGGATCTGGATCGGGGGCTACATCCAGCACCTGGGAGGCCCCGATTCTGGCTGGCAGGATTCTGGGCCTGTGTCCGTGGCTGAGAACAATGGGTTCGTTAGCACTAACAAGGCCAGGGCGCAGTGCCCTGGGCCCAGGCTTGGCTGTTCCTTTGCTGAGCAATTATCCCGGGACGAGACAGGGTCACCGCAGCCAGCACCTGGGGGAGGGGGGCACCCAGGATGCCTGGGTTCTCTCCCCAGCTCCAGGGGAGAAGGGACTTAGGAGGGGTAGAGGGGGATGGGAGCCCAGGCACCTGGGTGCTTTGGGAGGGCAGTGGCGGTCAGGGGGTGAGAGCAGGGGAGCTGGGATCCCAGATGCCTGGGTTCCCTGGGAGGGGAGTGGGGGTCAGGGGTTAGGACAAGGTGGGGGCTCTCATTGTTATTCACAGCTCCCCTGTGATTGGCTGCACCCCCCCAGGTCAAAGCTACCAGCACACAGCCGCCCCTGTGAGCCAGACCCCTGCCCCTCCACCCCCCCGCCCCCCGGGGGAGATCAGAGCAGGGCACCGAGTCGTCATGGCTATGCTGGACCCAGGCAGGGAGGAACCCAGGAACTCAGGCTCCCAGCAGCACCTGATCATATAACATAAGGCGGGAGGGTCTGGGTGGAGAGAAAGGAGCAGAGACATAGAGATGGGAAGAAGAGAGGGAGGGATGGAGGGGTGGGCAGGAGTGGGGGAGATGCATGGGTGGGTGGATGGTTGGGCAGCCTGGTAGATGGATGGATGGAAGGGTAAGCGGGTGAATGGATGGATAGATAGATAGATGGGTGGGTGGATCTGTGAGTGGCTAGCTGGATAGGTGGATGCGTGCGTGGATGGGTAGATAGGTACATGGATAGAGGTAGGTTGATGGATGGATGGATGGATGGATGGAGGGATGCCTAGCTGTATAGGTGGATGCATGGATGGATGGGTAGACAGGTGGATGGGTGCATGGATAGAGATGGGTGGGTGAGAGGAAGGAAGTTGGTTGGTTGCTGACAGGCAATTACCAGACTAGATGAGGGGAAGCCAACCTGAAGCACATGTGTCAAACAGAACATGGGCAGCCTCTGTGCATGTCACATGGCAGATTAGGGAAGGGACGGGCAGTATGGGGTAGGCAGGGCAGAGAGCAGAGAGCAGAGCAGCAATTGGGGCAGGGAGCGGAAAGCAGAGCAGTGGATGGAGCAGGGAGCAGATAGCAAAGCTGCAGACTAGGCAAGGGAAGGGGATCAGAGCAGCCCTGGCCTGGCCTGGACAAATGGACCCACAGGCCCTTGGGCCTGTAGCTGCCCCCTGGTGGCAGGAGCTGGGGTTCTGGGGACCCAGGCTGTGGAGAGGGCGCCACCCCCATGGACTGCACCATGCAGCCAATCAGCAGGAGGCTCCACCCCCCAGCCCAGGGCAGTGGACAGGCTGCTGCCCAGGGGTGTGTCCCTTACCCCATTGGCCACAGCCACAGCCCTGGAGGCTACAAAAACTGGGGGGACCCAGGCAGGGTGACAGTCAGGCGGCCCCCGCAGGTGAGTGCGAGGCATTTCTGCATAGGATCCCGGACACCTGGGTTCTCTCCCAGCTCTGGGAGGGGAGTGGGGCCTAGGGGGTGAGAACAGGGGGGTCCTGGGAGCCCGGACGCCTGGGTTCCAGCCTCCTTCCCCATTGCTCCCCACTGTGTTGCAGACATGGGGGCTCTCCGGGTGATCCTGCTTGTGGCCTGGCTGGCTCTCCAATGCGGTGAGTTGTGGGGGATCCCGGTCCCTTTTTGGGGGGAGGATTCTGGACCCTTGTCCTCCCAGCCCCCACCTCTCCAATTCCCTGCCCTCCTTGGGGTTGCCATGGGGCTGGCAGAAACTTCTCTTACCTTATTTCCTCATTGATAACATGCTTGCTAATTTCCAGCAGCTCTGGCCGGGGGTGCGTGTTGAACGTGAGATAATATGGTAACTCTTTTATGCCCGTGGAGGTGTTGGGGAGGGGGTCTCCCACCCCATCAGACCTCACGGCCTTTGACCTTGCCTGGCAAGGGGACTAGGATTGGTCAGTGTATCCCATTGGCTGTCCATGAGTTCTCCCCAGTCACCCCAGTCCAAATCAAGATCCAGGCTACTATAGTCCGAGTCACGTCACCTGTTTACATTGGTGTAGTTCATACCATTTTCGGAGGCTGATATAAATGACCCCTCCCGAGAGTGGACAGACAGATGGCCAGCCCAGGACAGGGCCTCGCCCCTCGATGGCACATAGCAGGGGAAAGCCCCTTGCCTTGGCACAGGGTTGCCCCTGAATATGCCCTGGACAGACGGCACCTACTCCAGGGTCAGTTCCAGAGGGGTGGGCACACCTTGATTTTCTCTGGGTTGCTAACCGTTCATCTATCCATCATCCATCTATCCGCATACTCTCTTCCATCCGTTCAGCTATCCATTATCTTTCCATCCACATACTCTCTTCCTTCCATCCATCCATCCTTATACTCTGTTACTATCCTTCTTTCCATCTGTCTTTCCATCCCCGTATTCTCCTCAATCCATCTGTCCATTTATTCCTGTGCTGGCATCCTTCCTTCCTTCCTTCCATCCATCCTTCCATCAATCTATCCACACTATCTCCTTCCAACCATCCATACATTCCTATACACTGTTACTATCCATCCATCCATCTTCATATTCTCTTCCATCCATCCTTCTATCTCCATACTCTCTCCTACCCATCCTTCCATCCATCCATCCCCACACTCACTTCCATCCATCCCCATATTCTCTCCTTGCCAACCATCCATTCCTCCCTCCCTCCCCATATTCCCTTCCTTCCTTCCTTCCTTCCTTCCATGCCCGTATTCTCTTCCACCCATTTTAGCTGGCTATTGCGGCATCAGAGTACGTTCCCCTGGTAGAACTCACTGGTAGAACTGGGGTAGGTCAGTCTATCCTGCCCCTTCCCGCCGAGTTAGCACTGATATAATGGCAGGTTATGCTGGTCTCCTGCGTCCAAGCCCTTCTCCTGGGATGAATTCAGTCTAGGAGCCTGGAGGGCTCAGCTGTGATTCCCAACACACAAGAGAGAAGCTCTGGGAATCTGATGGGTGAGACCACTCATCTGTGGTGCCTCCCATGTGTCCCCACAGGCATGGCCACTGGGGGTCCCCAGGGCAGATACTTCGTCACGGCCTTCCTAGAGAACGGGATGCCAAAAGCCGCCGGGCACTTCAAGCTCTTCCTCATTGGCTACCACGACGCCACATCCGTCACCGTGACCATCCCCAAGTCCAAATTCCAGGAAGTGGTGGCCCTCCATCGGAAGCAGGTGGTGACGGTGCAACTCCCAAGCCATGTACAGATGGTGGGCACCAACATCTTCCCCAGCACCGTGGTAGTCAAGTCCTCCAAGCCGATCTCAGTGATGTCCCTCAACTCCAAGGAGACGTCCACAGAGACTACGATTGTCTACCCCCTGTTTTTCCTGGGGAAAAAATACTTTGTGATCACGCCCACTGGGCACCCCACAGGGTCCTTCCAGGAGTTTGCCGTGGTGGCCTGTCAGCAGGCCACCAATGTGGACATCTACCTCCGTGGCCAGGTGACTTTCAAAGGACAAGTCTACCCCGCTGGCAGCAAGCTCCATGTGTCCCTAAAGCCCTTCCAAACCATCCAGCTCCAGAGCACGAATGACCTCTCGGGCACCAAGGTCCTCTCCCAGAAGCCCGTGGCCGTATTGGCCGGCCACACCTGCATCTGGTCCCACAACCACTGCCAGCATGTGATGGAGCAGTTGCTGCCGGTGAGCCAATGGGGCAAGACCTTTGCCGTGGTGCCCCTCTCCTTCCAGTCCACCCATGCTGTGGCCTTTGTGGTGGCCCACCAAGCCACATTGCTCCAGATACAGGCTGGCCCCAAGCAGAAGATGCTATGGCTACAAGCTGGGGAGGTGAAGAAACTGGCGGTGAAGCTGGCCAAGCCACTGTACCTCACTGCTGATGCTGGGATCCAGGTGATCTTCTACTCCTTGGGGAGTGTCAAGGCTGGGGTTCCCTATGAGCCCTTCCTCTCCCAGGTGCCCGCCCTCCGAAACTATGCCAAGTCCTACTATGTGCTGGGCCGCTTGGGCATCCACAACATGGCCGTCATCATCACCAAGAGCTACGCCACCGGCCAGCTCACCTTTGACCACCAACCCCTGCGCCAGCTGCAGTGGCAACCCATTCCCGGGTCAGGGTATTCGTGGGCGGAGTATCGCTTCAGCCGGAAGCAGAAGGTCCATGTTCTCAAGCACCCTGGTGCCCCCTTCGGTGTCCTCAGTATCGGCATCGCCGACCACATCACCCACGGCACCGTCGCCTTTGCCAACGCCCGTGAGTACCCAAGCGCTGACGGTGGGCAGCCAAAACCACCCCTTCAGTCGGGCTCCCTATTGATCTCCTTCTTGGTTTGTGCCCATTCGCACCCTCTGTCTGTCTGTCTATCTCACTGTTCCTAGGCAGGCTCTGTCTGTCCATCCATCAGTCTCCGTTCTCTGCATCTATCCCTCCATCCCCGCACACTGGTGCTGTTTATCCAGCCTCCCACCACTATTCACTCTAGTTACCTAGTTATCCATCCATCCCCAAACAGAACCTTTATTCATCCATCCATCCATCCATCCATCCATCTATACCCATACACACCCTCTGTCCATCCATCCATCCATCCATCCTTCCCCACACACACCCTTTATTCATCCATCCATCCATCCATACATCCATCCATCCATCCATCCATCCACCTATCTATACCTATACACACCCTCTGTCCATCCATCCATCCATCCATCCTTCCCCACACACACCCTTTATCCATCCATCCATCCATCCATCTCCATTTGGTGACCAAGTCACAAAATGCTTAGATGCAGGGGACAAGGTAAATGTCATCTACCTGGATTTTAAGAAAGCCTTTGATATGGTATCTCATCCTATTCTTGTAAATAAACTGAGCAGCTGTGACTTAGGTGATTACACGGTCAGGTGGGTGGAAAATTGGCTAATGGGATGCACCTAGAAAGTGGTGGTAGACAGGTCGGCATCAACCTGGAAAGATGTGGGCAGTGGAGTTCCCCAAGCTTCGGTCCTTGGACCAGTGCTGTTCAATGTCTTCATCAGTGACGTGGATAAGGGCATGGAGAGCACTCTGTCCAAATTCACAGATGACACCAAATTATGGGGTAAAGTAAACACACTAGCAGGCAGGGAATGAATCCAGGTGGATCTGGACAAATTAGAGAAGTGGGCAGAACAGAATAGGATGTAGTTCAACAAGGACAAATGCAAAGTGCTGCACCTAGGGAGAAGGAGTCACCAGCACACTCACAGGCTGGGGGGTGAACCTCTCAGCAGCACTGTACCAGAAAGGGATCTCAGAGTCATAGTTGACTCCAAGATGAACATGAGTTGTCAATGTGATGAAGTGATCAGTAAGGATAACCACACTTTATCATGCATTAGCAGGTACATCACAAACAGGTCCAGGGTGGTGATACTTCCCCTCTATGCGGCACTGGTGAGGCCATAGTTGGAGTACTGCGTCCAGTTTTGAGCGCCGTACTTCAAGGGGGATGTGGACAACCTGAAGAAGTTTCAAAGGAGGGCCACTTGTATGGTTAGGAGCCTGCAGGTAAGGCCCTACGAGGAGAGATTGAAGGACCTGAATCTCTTCAGCCTCTGCAAGAGAAGGCTGAGAGGGGATCTTGTGGCTGTCTACAAATTCATTGGGGGGGACATCAAGGGATAGGAGATGCTCTGTTTACTAGGGCAACCCTTGGAGTAACTAGAAATAATGGCCACAACTGACAGTGAGCAGATTCAGGCTAGACATCAGGAAGAACTTATTTATGTTAAGGGTGGCCAGAATCTGGAATGGGCTTCCAAGGGAGGTGATGCTCTCCCCTACCTTGATGGTCTTTAAGAGTAAATTGGGCAAGCACCTCGCTGGGTCATCTGACCCCAGTTCTCTTTCCTGCCTGGGGCAGGGGGCCAGACTTGATGATCTGCTGAGGTCCCTTCTGACCCTAATATCTATGAATCTATGATACTGTATTGCTATCCATCATTCTATCTCCATATATTGTTCCCATCCATCCATCCATCCACCCACCCACCCCTCCATCCATCCACCCATCCATCCTCAAACACTGTTGTTATCAATCCATCCATCCCTGTACACCCTCTGTGTGTCTGTGCCCACCCACCCCTTCTGTGTAGCTAGCTCCAGTATTTGTGTCCATCCATCCATACACCTTCTGTGTGTCTGTCCTCATCCACCCCTTCAGCTCTCTGTTTATTCACTTCCATTATCTATCTGTCTGTCTGTCTAGCCATCCCTGATTCAATCGCTCTTTCTACCTATCTGTCTATCCATTCCCACACAGCCCCTCTCTCTCCATCCCTCCCCATATGCTGTTGTTATTCATCTGTCCATCCACCCATCCACCCATCCAGCCACCATTAGTCGCTATCTGTGTACCCATCTGTGTGCCCTCAGTCCTTCCATGTGTGCCCACAAACACCCTTGGTTCATCTATCTATCTATCTATCTATCTATCTATCTATCTATCTATCTATCTATCTATCTATCTATCTATCCCCACATACCCCCTTTTTTCTATATATTTATCAATCCAACCATACATCCCCTTACACTGTTGCCATACATCCAGCTAGCCAGCCAGCCAGCCATTCCCATACACCCTCTTTGTGTCTGTCCCCATCCACCCCTTCTAACCTGCTCTCTACTGGTCTGCCTGTCAATCCATGCCTAATCACACCCTTCATCGATCAATCCATCAGTCTGTCTGTCTGTCTAGTTTGCCATCCCCATGGACACCCTCTGTCTATCCTTCTGTCCATTGCTATTCACCCCTAGGTATCTGTCCATCCCCTAGAGATGTACCTGTAGCAACAGTGTATGGGGATGGATGGATGGATGGATGGGGTGTGGAGATGGAGGGATGGATCTATAACTACAAACACCCTCTATCTATTTTTCTGTTTCTCTATCTATTTCTCTCTCCATCACCACACACCCCATTTATCTGTCCATCCTTCCATCCATCCACCTTCCCTAAGCTACTGCCATCCATCCATCCACCCCAGAGATCTCTGCACTTCTTCATCCATCAGTCCACCCATCCCAGAGATCTCCACACTTCATCCAACCATCCATCCATTCATCCACCCCAGAGATCTCCACATATCTCCATCCATCCATCCATCCATCTGTCCATCCACCCCAAAGATCTCCGTACTTCTCCATCCATCCCGCCATCCCTCCCTCCCTCCCTCCCTCCCCATACTCCCCTCTCTCTCTGTACCTCATTTCTCCTTTCTCCCCTCTTTCTTTTCTCTCCTCTTTTCTCCCTCCCTCCCTCTCCTCCCTCTCTCATTCCCCACTGGATCTTCATGCTGTGGTGGGCAGGACCCCCCAGGCCACAGAAGAACACTCACTACCTCGACCATCATATTCCCCCTCCTCCCCGCACACCCTTCCACCGGCCACCCCCAACCACCTCCCGTGGCCTGACATGGTGGTGGCCAGGCCTAGCAGCCAGCTTTGGATGCAGGCCAGGAGGGTTGCACAGAAATACACCGCCCGCTCCCAGCCTACCACATGTGAGGATTATGCCAGGCCCCCAAAGGGACCAATAGGTCATCATCTTCCCTGGGAAAGGTGGCAATAAAAGCCCCTTCTTCTCCATTTCTCAGCTCCGAAGTCCCAGGGAAGACATGGACGGAGCCTTTGCAGCCACATCCAGTGCTCCAGTGGGCAGAGGTGTGTGGAGAAAGACGGGTACCTGCAGTGTGTGCCAGCCCACGCCAGCTGCAGCGCTGTCCACTGCAGCCATGGGACCGAGTGCCGGATCCTGGGGGGCTACCCCAAGTGCGTCCACCAAAGGCCAGGCTGTAGTGATATCCAGTGCCATAAAGGCACCACATGCCAGATCATCAATGGGTATCCCAAGTGTGTCCACCAGACACCCACGTGCCAGGACAGTCATTGCCACAAGGGTAAAGTGTGCAAGGTAGTGGATGGGCACCACATGCCAGATCATCAATGGGTATCCCAAGTGTGTCCAACGTGCACCCACTTGCAGTAACATCCATTGCCACAAGGACAAAGTGTGCAAGATGGTAGATGGATACCCAAGGTGTGTCTACCAGGCACCCACCTGCCAGGACATCCATTGTCACAAGGGCAAAGCATGCAAGATAGTAGATGGACACCCAAAGTGTATCCACCGAGCACCCACCTGCCTTGACATCCATTGCCACAAGGGTAAAGTGTGCAAGGTAGTGGATGGATACCCGAAGTGTGTCCACCGGGCACCCACCTGCCAGGACGTCCATTGCTACAGGGGTAAAGTGTGCAAGGTAGTGGATGGACACCCAAAGTGTATCCACCGAGCACCCACCTGCCTTGACATCCATTGCCACAAGGGTAAAGTGTGCAAGGTAGTGGATGGATACCCGAAGTGTGTCCACCGGGCACCCACCTGCCAGGACATCTATTGCCATAAAAGTGCCACGTGCCAGATCATCGATGGGTTTCCCAAGTGTGTCCAGCACACACCCACATGTAGTGACATCCATTGCCACGAGGGCAAAGTGTGCAAGATAGTGGATGGGTACCCAAAGTGTGTCCACCGGGCACCCACCTGCCAGGACATCCATTGCCATAAAGGTGCCACGTGCCAGATCATCAATGGGTTTCCCAAGTGTGTCCAGCGCGCACCCACATGTAGTGACATCCATTGCCACAAGGGCAAAGTGTGCAAGGTAGTGGATGGATACCCGAAGTGTGTCCACCGGGCACCCACCTGTCAGGACATCCATTGCTATAAAGGTGCCACGTGCCAGATCATCAATGGGTTTCCCAAGTGTGTCCAGCGCGCACCCACATGTAGTGACATCCATTGCCACAAGGGCAAAGTGTGCAAGGTAGTGGATGGATACCCGAAGTGTGTCCACCGGGCACCCACCTGTCAGGACATCCATTGCTATAAAGGTGCCACGTGCCAGATCATCAATGGGTTTCCCAAGTGTGTCCAGCGCGCACCCACATGTAGTGACATCCATTGCCACAAGGGCAAAGTGTGCAAGGTAGTGGATGGATACCCGAAGTGTGTCCACCGGGCACCCACCTGTCAGGACATCCATTGCTATAAAGGTGCCACGTGCCAGATCATCAATGGGTTTCCCAAGTGTGTCCAGCGCGCACCCACATGTAGTGACATCCATTGCCACAAGGGCAAAGTGTGCAAGGTAGTGGATGGATACCCGAAGTGTGTCCACCGGGCACCCACCTGTCAGGACATCCATTGCTATAAAGGTGCCACGTGCCAGATCATCAATGGGTTTCCCAAGTGTGTCCAGCGCGCACCCACATGTAGTGACATCCATTGCCACAAGGGCAAAGTGTGCAAGGTAGTGGATGGATACCCGAAGTGTGTCCACCGGGCACCCACCTGTCAGGACATCCATTGCTATAAAGGTGCCACGTGCCAGATCATCAATGGGTTTCCCAAGTGTGTCCAGCGCGCACCCACATGTAGTGACATCCATTGCCACAAGGGCAAAGTGTGCAAGGTAGTGGATGGATACCCGAAGTGTGTCCACCGGGCACCCACCTGTCAGGACATCCATTGCTATAAAGGTGCCACGTGCCAGATCATCAATGGGTTTCCCAAGTGTGTCCAGCGCGCACCCACATGTAGTGACATCCATTGCCACAAGGGCAAAGTGTGCAAGGTAGTGGATGGATACCCGAAGTGTGTCCACCGGGCACCCACCTGTCAGGACATCCATTGCTATAAAGGTGCCACGTGCCAGATCATCAATGGGTTTCCCAAGTGTGTCCAGCGCGCACCCACATGTAGTGACATCCATTGCCACAAGGGCAAAGTGTGCAAGGTAGTGGATGGATACCCGAAGTGTGTCCACCGGGCACCCACCTGTCAGGACATCCATTGCTATAAAGGTGCCACGTGCCAGATCATCAATGGGTTTCCCAAGTGTGTCCAGCGCGCACCCACATGTAGTGACATCCATTGCCACAAGGGCAAAGTGTGCAAGATAGTGGATGGGTACCCAAAGTGTGTCCACCGGGCACCCACCTGCCAGGACATCCATTGCCATAAAGGTGCTACGTGCCATATCATTGATGGGTTTCCCAAGTGTGTCCAGCGCACACCCACATGTAGTGACATCCATTGTCACAAGGGCAAAGTGTGCAAGGTAGTGGATGGGTACCCGAAATGTATCCACCGGGCACCCACATGCAGTGATATCCACTGCCACAAAGGTGCTGTGTGCCAGATCATTGATGGATTTCCCAAGTGTGTCCAGCGCACACCCACATGTAGTGACATCCATTGCCACAAGGGCACTGTGTGCAAGGTAGTGGATGGGTACCCTAAGTGTGTCCACCGTAGGCCCACTTGTAATGACATCTATTGCCATAAAGGCACCGTGTGCCAGATCATTGATGGATTCCCCAAGTGTACCCAACGTGTGCCCACCTGCAGTGACATTATTTGTCACAAGGGCACTGTGTGCAAGGTAGTGGATGGGTACCCAAAGTGCATCCACCGTAGGCCCACTTGCAATGACATCTACTGCCATAAAGGCGCCGTGTGCCAGATTACCGATGGGTTCCCCAGGTGCATCCAACATGTGCCCACCTGCAGTGACATCTATTGCCACAAGGACACCATTTGCAAGGTAGTTCATGGATATCCAAAGTGTGTCCGTGTGCCCACCTGCAGTGACATGCACTGCTATAAAGGCACTGTGTGCCAAATTATTGATGGTTTCCCCAAGTGTATTCAGCATGTGCCCACCTGCAGTGACATCTATTGCCACAAAGGCACCATATGTCAGATCATCAATGGATTCCCTAAGTGTGTCCAGCGTGTGCCCACATGCAGTGACATCTTTTGCCATAAAGGTACCATGTGCCAGATTGTGGGTGGAATCCCAAAGTGCATCCTACGTGTACCCACCTGCAGTGACATCTATTGCCACAAAGGCACCATGTGCCAGATCATTGATGGAGTCCCCAAGTGTGTCCAGCGTGTACCCACCTGCAGTGACATCTATTGCCACAAAGGCACCATCTGCCAGGTCATTGATGGATTCCCCAAATGCGTCCAGCGTGTGCCCACCTGCAGCGACATCCATTGCCATAAAGGTACCGTGTGCCAGATTGTGGGTGGAATCCCCAAGTGCGTCCCACGTGTGCCCACCTGCAGTGACATCTATTGCCACAAAGGCACCATCTGCCAGATCATTGATGGATTCCCCAAGTGTGTCCAGCATGTGCCCACCTGCAGTGACATTCATTGCCATAAAGGTACCGCGTGCCGGATTGTGGGTGGAATCCCCAAGTGTATCCAACGTGTTCCCACCTGCAGAGACATCTACTGTCACCAGGGCACCGTGTGCCAGGTCATTGATGGCTTCCCCAAATGCGTACAGCATATGCCCACCTGCCGCGACATCCAGTGCCATAAAGGCACCGTGTGCCAGATCATCGATGGATTCCCCAAGTGTTCCTCCACCCCGCATCCCTGCCTCCACTTCCCCTGCCCGGCAGGTGCTGCCTGTGGGCTGGTCCAGGGCCAGCCCACCTGCGTGCCATCATCATCCTGCCACCAGTTCCAGTGCAAGGGTGGCACCATGTGCAAGGTGGTAGATGGGGCTCCCCGGTGCCTCCCACCGCTGACGTGCCGCCACGTGCACTGCAAGGACCGGCGCGTGTGTAAGGTGGTACACGGCTGGCCCAAGTGTGTGCACATGTTCCGGTCAGCCCCACTGCCACCACCGTCTTGTGCAGCAATCCTTTGTATTCTGGGCACCACGTGCCAGGTCCTCAATGGCATGCCCACATGTGTGCCCCATACCCAGCCCTGCCATGGGATCCACTGCCCAGTGGGCACTGTGTGCCGGGTCTTGGACGGCATCCCCCAGTGCATTTCTCAGAAGCCCTCATGCCACGGGATCCACTGTGGGGCGGGCACCAAGTGTCAAGTGGTGGATGGGGTCCCCACCTGCGTGCCCCCTGTGCCTCCCTGCCATGGCGTGAAGTGTGAGGATGGCAGCGTGTGCCGCACAGTGAATGGACAGCCCAAGTGTGTGCCCCCTACACCTTCCTGCCATAGAGTCCAGTGCAGGATGGGAAGCAAGTGCCAGCTGGTGGATGGGGTCCCCACCTGCGTGCCACGCATGCCCTCATGCTATGGTGTCCAGTGCCAGGCTGGCTCCAAATGCAAGGTTTTGCATGGTGTGCCCATGTGTGTGCCCCATGTCCCTTCATGCCATGGTTTCCCATGCCAGACTGGCTCCAAGTGCAAGGTGGTGAATGGCGTGCCCACATGTGTGCCCCACATCCCCTCATGCCATGGTTTCCCATGCCAGACTGGCTCCAAGTGTAGGGTGGTCAATGGCGTGCCCACATGTGTGCCCCATGTCCCCTTGTGCCATGGTTTCCCGTGCCAGACTGGTTCCAAGTGCAAGGTGATAAATGGCGTGCCCACATGTGTGCCCCATGTCTCCTCCTGCCACAGGGTCCAGTGCCAGGCTGGCTCCACATGCAAGATTTTGCATGGGATGCCCACATGTGTGCCCCATATCTCCTCCTGTCATGGTGTCCAGTGCGAACAGGGCAGCACATGCAAGGTGGTGAATGATGTGCCCACGTGTATACCCCATGTCTCATCCTGCCACAGCATCCACTGCCATGAGAGCACTACATGCAAGATTTTGCATGGTGTGCCCACATGCGTACCCCACGTCTCTTCCTGTCATGGGGTCCCGTGCCAAGCTGGATCCAAATGCAAGATGGTGAATGACGTACCCACATGCATGCCTCATGTCCCCTCCTGCCATGGCATCCCATGCCAGGCCGGCTCCAAGTGCAAGGTTTTGCATGGCGTGCCCATGTGTGTTCCCCATGCTATGCCCTGCCACAGGATTCACTGCCCAGAAAGCACCACATGCCAAGTCGTGCGTGGCGCACCCCGGTGTGTGCCCCACAAGCCATCCTGCCATGGGGTCCAGTGCAGGGAGGGCACCAAGTGTCAAGTGGTGGATGGGGTCCCCATGTGTGTGCCCCCCGTGCCTCCTTGCTATGGTGTTCAGTGCCAGGCTGGCTCCAAGTGCAAGGTGGTGAATGGCATGCCCAAGTGTGTGCCCCATGTCTCCTCCTGTCATGGTGTCCAATGCCAGGCTGGCTCCAAGTGCAAGGTGGTGAGTGGTGTGCCCACATGTGTGCCCCACATCTCCTCCTGTCACAGCATCCAGTGCCACGCTGGTTCCACATGCAAGATTTTGCATGAAGTGCCCACGTGCGTGCCCCATGTCCCCTTGTGCCACACTGTCCAATGCCAGGCCGGCTCCAAGTGCAAGGTGCTGAACGGCGTGCCCACATGTGTGCCCCACATCCCCTCATGCCACAGCATCCACTGTCAGGATGGCACCACATGCCGCCTCGTGAATGGCTGGCCCCGGTGCCTCCCGAACAAACCCTCGTGCCAGGGCGTGGCCTGCCAGGCAGGCACCAAGTGCCAAGTGGTGGATGGGGTGCCCACATGTGTGCCCCACCTGCCCCCCTGCCACGGTGTCCAGTGCCCCATGGGCAAGTTGTGCAAGGTGGTGAACGGGGCACCCAAGTGCGTGCACCTGGCACCCTCATGCGACGGGATCTTGTGCAGAGTGGGCTCCACATGCAAACTCATAAACAGACTGCCCACGTGCGTCCCTGTGACCCGGGCGCAGCCTGTGTGCTGGGCTTCTGGGCACCCACACTACCACACCTTCGACGGGCGCAGCTACGACTTCCAGGGCACCTGCACCTACACGCTGGTGAAGCCGTGTGCCGGCACCACGGCCAAGCTGCCCTCCTTCCACATCAAGGCCAAGAGCCAGCGGTGCGGTCAGAGCCACGTGTCCTTCGTGAGCCAGGTCACCCTGCTCCTCTATGGCTACGAGATCACCATGGTCAAGTACGAGTATGGACTCGTCCGGGTAAGGGCCTGCGCCCGCGCGGGGAGAGAACACAGGCGTCCGGGTTCCTGATCCCCTTCACCCCCACCCGCCACTGCCCTTCCAGAGCTGGAGGGGAGTCACGTGTCCAGGCTTCCACCGCTCCTGCTCTCACGCACCAGACCTAGCTCCTCTCCCAGAGCTAGGGGAGGACCCAGGCATCCGGGCTCCCAGCCTCCATTCTCTGACCCACCAGGCCCCAGTCCCTTCCAGAGCAGGAGAGGACCCAGGCCCATTTGCCCAGTTTGCCCTGGGGCAGGTCCACGTGTCCTGTCTGGTTTCACGTCATGGCGGGTTGGGTGGTTCTGCCCAGAGGCTGGACAGTGGGTTGCTCTGGGATGGGTTGGATGGGGCTGATCCTGCCTCAGGCACAGGACTCGGCTCTATGGGACATCTGGAGGTCCCTTTCAACCCTGCTTCTCTATGACTCTACAACTATGACTCTATGACCTCTGAAAGTCCCTTCCAGCCCCTGCTGCTCTATGACCTCTGGAGGTCCCTTCCAACCCTACTTCTCTATGACTATGACTATGACTCTATGACCTCTGGAGAGCCCTTCTAGCCCTACTTCTCCATGACTCTATGACTATGACTCTATGACCTCTGGAAGTCCCTTTCAACCCTACGTCTCTAGGACCTCTGGACGTCCCTTCCAATCCCACTTCTCTATGACTATGACTCTATGACCTCTGCAGCCCTGTTTCTCTATAACTAAAACTCCATGGCCTCTGAAAGTCCCTTCTAGCCCTACTTCTGTATGAGTCTGAATCTATGACCCTGGAGGTCCCTGCCAGCCCTACTTCTCTACGATGATGGCTCTATGAGCTGTAGAGGCCCCTTTCCAGCCCTACTTCTCCATGACTGTATGACCTCTGGAGGTCCCTTCCAGCCCAACTACTCTATGATGTCTATGATGTCTATGCTAAGTATTTTAAGATTTTCAGGAGCATCTGTAACATTTCCGGCCAACTCTGCTCTCACCCATCCCCAGGTAAACAAGCAAAAGACGCGGCTGCCCATCTCCCTGAAGCATAACAAGCTGTGCCTCCACCACCGGGGTGGACAGCTGGTGGTGGAGACCCGTTTTGGCCTGAAGATCTACTATGACTGGAACTACTACCTGGTGGTCAAGGTGACAAAGGCCTTCCACGGTATGCTATGCGGCCTGTGCGGCAACAACAATGGTGATCCCAGCGATGACTTCTTGACCTCCTCTGGCAGCTTAGCTGTTAGCCCTGTGGCCTTTGGCAAGAGCTGGAAGGTGGACGATGGTGACAACCACTGCCAGCACGGTTGCCATGGCAAATGCAAGGGGTGTTCCCCGAAACTGGTGAAGCGCTACGGGGGGGTGGGCTACTGCGGGCTCATCAAGAAGGCCCCCAATGGGCCCTTCCGGCAGTGCCATGCCCGTGTGGCCCCCAAGCCCTACCTGGCTGACTGCATCGCTGACCTGTGCACCTACGATGGCTACAAACAGATCCTGTGCCGGGCACTGAAGACGTACGCGGATGCCTGCCAGAGAGAAGGTGCCCTGGTGCACAACTGGAGGAAGCATGCTGGTTGTCGTAAGTACTGGCAGCCATGTTAGGCGGTGGGCAGGGTGGGGGGACCCAGATAGATAGATAGATAGCTAGATAGAGTGGGGTATGGGGACAGAAAATAAGGGATCATCTGTCCATCCATCTGTCCATTGCATGGATGGATGGATAGATGGGCACACCCCAACTGCATGTGTATGCATGCACAAATGTGTTACACCCTCCCCCCCCACACCACGGGCCACCTCCAGCCTGCACCCACCTACATGCCCCCTTTCCTCAGCAATGCCAGGCGTGTGTGTCCTTGCCCCCCATTCTGCCACCAGCTGAGGGCAATTCCCCTCCCCCACCCATATCTGACCCCTCTCCTCCAACTCTCCCTCTTCCCTGCAGCCATGCCCTGCCCGGAGAACAGCCACTATGTGGCCTGCGGCTCAGCCTGCCCTCTCACCTGCAAGAACTTCATCATCCCAGAGAAATGCCGCCTGCCCTGTGTGGAGACATGCCAGTGTAAACCGGGCTACGTGCTGGATGGGGGCCAGTGCATCCCCAAGGAGCGCTGTGGCTGTGCCCACAAAGGCCGTCTCTATGCCCCGGGTGAGCGGTTCTGGGCAGACGACAGATGCCAGCAGGCATGCAAGTGCAACGCGGGTACCCGGAAGGTGACATGCCAGGATGCACGGTGCAAGGAGAGCGAGGAGTGTGGCGTGACAGGCGGTGTGCGTGGCTGCTACCCAACACGCTATGGGACTTGCGCGGCTGTGGGTGAGACCCACTATGTCACCTTCGACGGGCTGCACTATGACTTCTTGGGTACCTGCGTGTACTTGCTGGCCAAGCTGTGCCACCGCTCCAAGGGGCTGCTGCCCTTCCAGGTGCTGGTGCAGAGGGAGCAGCCGAGTGGCAAGGAGGGCGGCGGTGCCACCAAGGTGGTGGAGATCAAGGTCTACGGGGTGGAGATCACGCTGGCGGCGCATGGGCGCGTCAAGGTGAGGCCACAGGGAGTCGGGCAGGGATGGGGGGGCTTCACATGCCAGTCATCTGTCCGTCCATGTGTCCATCCACCTGTCCATTGCATGCACAGTCCTTCCTTCCTTCCTTCCATTACAGACACACTCCATCCATCCATCCAGCTGTCCATGCAGCCATCCTCATACACAGCCCTTTCTCCACCAGCCCACCCACCCACCCACCCACCCTATGTAGACTTTGTTCATCTGCCGACCTGTCCATCCAGCCATTCCCATACACAGTCCTTCATCCACAACCCAGCTAACCAACCAGCCAGCCATGCCATACACGCTTGCTTGCTTTCTTCCTTCCTTCCATTGCAAACACACTCTATCCCTCCATCCATCCACACATCCATTGCATGTAGACTCCGTCCACCCATCCGTATATCCATCACATACACGGTCCATCCATTCATCTGTTATGTACACAATCCATCCACCCACCATCCATCCACCCCTATTTTGCATGCACACTCCTAAATAAGTGCTGAGTAACTCCTGAGTATGTAGTAACCCCAGAGTAATGAGTAACCCCTGAGTAAGCAGCCAGTAACCCCAAAGTAAGCAGTGAATAACCTCAGAGTAACCCCCAAGTAAGCATTGAGTAACCCCCAAGTAAGCCAGTAATGCAGGTGACCCCGAAGTAGCACCTAACCCCTAAGTAAGCAGCAAGTAACCGCAGAGTAACCCCCAAGTAAGCAGCTAATAACCCCTGAGTAAGCAGGGGGTAACAACTGAATGTGGAGGCAGGGGGGGATCCCCAAGCACATCCTGAGCAACTGCTGAGTAAGGAGGGGGCGAGTAAGCCATAAGGACCACCCCGCCACACCCTGCTACTGACACCCGTTCTCCCTCCCCCTCCACAGCTTAACGGCCTATACATCCACCTGCCCTACTCCATCGAAAACAACAAGATCTCCATCCACTACCGGGGCTGGGACGTGGTGGTGAAGACGGACTTCCGCCTGACCGTGGCCTTTGACGGCAGGAACCATGTGCGGGTGACCTTGCCCAGCACCTATGCGGGCACTGTGTGCGGCCTCTGCGGTAACTTCAATGGGAAGAAGCAGGACGACTTCACAGTGCGCGGGGGGCTCCGGGCCACCTCCCCCGCCACCCTGGGCCGCAGCTGGAAGGTCCGGGACATCCCCGGCTGCGTGGAGGGGGAGAAGGCTGCCTGTAAGGACATGTTCCAGATGGAGCGGCAGCAACGGCAGGAGCAGAAAGTGTGCGGGGTCCTACTGAACCCCAACGGGCCTTTCCGGGGCTGCCACAACCAGGTGCCCCCCGAGGGCTACTTCAAGGACTGTGTCTTTGACCACTGCTCCAAGAAGAGCCTAGCCGTGGTGTGCAACGTCCTGGCTGGCTACGCCGCCACCTGCCAGGCTGCCAGCGCCCCCATCCAGCCCTGGAGGACCAAGAATTTCTGCCGTGAGTGATCCCCCTGGGTGGAGGCCCCCCAGCCCTGTCCCCATGGACCCCCAATCCTTTCTCTACCCATCCTCAATGGGGATGGATGAATGGATGGATTCTAAGGAGCCTGGAGACCCCTGGCCCTGTCCCCTCCTCCTCAGTCCCAATGTATGCCAAGGCATCTGGGGACCCAGGCCCAAGCCCTGCCCTCAGACCCCCCCAACCCCAACCTTCATCTTAACCCAACCCGCAGCCCCAACTCCTAGCTCGCACCTTAACCTTCACCTGGCTATGGACACCTAGCCCCAGGGCACCTGAAGATCCCAACCCCCCAGGCCTTGGGGGCCCTGTCTCCTCACCTGACCTCCCCATCCCACAATCCCAATGCTGACCCTATGGAGAACACAGCCCCCAAGTCCTCACACATGTCCTCGGACCCCCTAGATGCTGCCCCCAACCCTAAGCCACTGCACCCATCGCCAGGGAGCCTGAAGATCCCAGCCCCACAGTGACCCCAGCCCTAACCCAATCACCAGCCCCCTACCACACTAACCCAACTGTATAACCCACTCTGGTCCTAGCAACCATAGGCATTCAAACCTGGGGCGGTCGCAGCAGCACCCCGGGTTCAAATACCTGTAGTCCTAACGCCTGTTCTTACATTCATAACACTCCCCCTGGCCTTCCCTCACTGCAGGACCATCCTGCCCTAAGAACAGCCACTACGAGGTGTGTGCCCGAGGATGTCCGGCCACCTGCCGCAGCCTCTACTCCCCAGCCCAGTGCCCCACCAAGTGCCGCGAGGGCTGCGTGTGCGACTCAGGCTTCGTGCTCAGCGGCCAGCAGTGCGTGCCCATGTCCCAGTGTGGCTGCGTCTACCGGGGTTTCTACTACAAGCCGGGAGAGTCCTTCTACCCCAGTGGGTTCTGCAAGGAACGGTGTCATTGCCAAGCTGGGGGCATCGTGCATTGCCGGGAGTTCTCCTGCGGCCCCAACGAAGAATGCCGGGTGGTGGACGGCATCCAGAAGTGCCACCCCGTGGTGCCCAAGGTGGGCACATGCCAGGCCAATGGGGACCCTCACTACCTCAACTTTGATGGCTATTCCTTTGACTTCCAAGGCAATTGCACCTACGTGTTGGCCCAGAGCTGTGCCCGGAAGGGCTACCTGCCCGCCTTCACCATCAAAGCCCAGAACCAGCGGCTGGGCAAGACCCAAGCAGCCACCACTAAGACGGTCTCTGTCAAGGTCTACAAGCATGTCTTCAGTCTTCTTCGAGGGCGCAAAGGCATCATTGTGGTATGGGGCACCAGGAACTAGGGCAGGGCTTGGGAGTTGGGGGGTAGTGAAGGTGTCTTACATAGCCAGGGGGAGGAAGAGAGGGTGAAGGGGTGGAGACAGCAGAGCAGGAAGTGGGGAGATGAAGGATAGATGGGTAGGAGGAAGATAAGTGGGATGGGTGGATGGATGGATGAATGGATGTCAACATGAGTGATTGAGGAAATATGAACAGACAGACAGGTGGGTGGTTGGATGGGCATATGGATGAATGTGAACAGGAGTGGATGGACAGATGGATGCAGAAGGGGTAGATGGAAAATGGGAAGAAGAGAAAGAATGAACAGGAGTGGATGGATGTCAATGGGACAGGGAAGAAGGATGGATGTGAAAGGGGAGATAGATGGAGAGATGTGGGAAGGAGTGGATGGATGGATGGATGGATGGATGGATGGATGCTGTGAACAAGAGAAGATGTCTATCTGGACAGCTGGACATGAAGGGACATGGACAAGTGGACTAACATATGGGGTCCTGGGGCCCCATCTTGACCAGGGACAACCCCCAGCCCTGGCACCCTCTCATCCTTTCCCTCCCCACCCCCAACTAGGTGGATGGCGTGGCCTTCCAGCTCCCCCTCTGTCTGGAGGGGGGCAACGTGTGTGCCTTCTGCCATGGGGCCACAGCGGTGATACGGACAGACTTCGGGCTCAGCGTGACCTTCGACCTCTGGTACCACCTGGCCGTGCGGGTGCCCCAGGCCTACCGCCAGCAGATGTGCGGCCTGTGCGGCAACTACAATGGGCACCGCGCTGATGACTTTGTCAAGCCCGATGGCCGCCCTGCCCGCAACCTCCGGGATTTCGGGGCTTCCTGGAAGGTGCCAGTGCCTGGCATGACCTGCAATGACGGCTGTGCAGGCTTAGTGTGTCCAGCCTGCCATGAGTCTCGCAAGGTCAACTATGTCCATAGCAAGCACTGCGAGATCCTGCGGGCCCGTTATGGGCCCTTCAGCGCCTGCTACTCCACCCTCAACCCCACCATCTTCTTCAACAACTGCGTCCATGATCTCTGCAAGACCACAGGGGACCGGCGTGTGCTCTGCCGGGCCATCCACGCCTATGTGGCCTCCTGTCAGGCTGCCGGCATCAAGATCAAGGCCTGGAGGACCAACAAGTTCTGCCGTGAGTGGGGCCTGTGAGCTGCTGGGTGGAGGGAGGTGTCTGGCTATCCATCAGCTCCACCCTTCTGTGCGGGGTTGGGTGAGAGGTATCTGTGTCCTTCCCTGTGTCCATGTGAGTCTCATCCATCCATCCACCGCATACACGCTCCATCCATCCATCCATCCATCCATCCACCCACAGTATCTCCATTCACCCATCCATCAATCCATTCACCATCCATCACATATATGGCATCCATCCATCCATCCTTCCATCCTTCCATCATCCATAAGCCCTTCTACCTACAGTATTTCCATCCAGCCATCCATCAACTCGTCCACCGATCCATCACATGTCTGGCATGCATCCATCCATCCATCCATTCACATCCTCTCGTTACCACTCCTCCCACATCCTCTCCCCCTCCACTAACCCCAGCCCCTCCTTCCTCTCCCTTTCCCTGCAGCCATGAGGTGTCCGGCCAACAGCCACTACTCCCTGTGTGCCAACCCCTGCTCCAGCGGCTGCAAGGCCGTGGCCAAAATCACCCAGTGCCCCAAGACCTGCGCTGAGGGCTGCCAGTGCAACAAAGGCTATGTCCAGGTGGGCCATGCCTGCATCCCCCTCCAGCACTGCCGCTGCTTCCACCAGGGACGCTACTACAAGGTGAGGCCATGGTCGGGTGCAGGAGGGGCCACAGCAGCCCCAGCATGGGGGCACCAAGGGGTGGCATGGCATGGGGAGTGAAGTGGGATGGATGGATGGATGGATGGATGGATGTCTGTGTACACGGATGAGTGGAAGAGTCGGTGGAAAGATGGATAAAGAGCTATGGATGGATGGGTGGAGGTGCTGCTTTGAAAGCAGAAAAAATCCAACTTTCCATCTTGAGCTCATGGTAGAACCCAGGCATCCGGGTTCCCAACCCCACCTGCTGTAACCCCTCCAACCCCCATGCCCTGCCCCCAACCCCCCACCCGGAGCCAGGAAAGAACCCGGGTGCCCTGACCGGCCCTCCATCTTTCTCTCCCGGCAGCCCAGAGAGACAGTGATCACAGCCCACTGCCGGCAGCAGTGCTCATGCAGCCTGCAGACAGGCATGACATGCCGGCCTTTTCAGTGCCCGGCGGGGGCCTCGTGCCAGCTAAGCAGTGGGCGCTGGGGCTGTGTGAAGCGGGATGGCCTGTGCTCCATCACCCGTGGCGACATCTTTACCACCTTTGATGGCATCTCCGGCAAGATGCCCCCAGACGGCGTTTATGAGATCTCCTCACTGCTCAGCACCAAGAACAAGGAGTGGTTCCGGGTGGTGGTGGACATCCAGGGATGTCACAAGTGCCCAAGCTCCCGCATCACCACAGTGACCATCTTCTTCCACCAGCTCACCATCCTGGTCCAGCGAGATGGCAAGGTCTTGGTAAGAAGTCAGCGGAGATGGTCCATCCACCCACCTATCCATCACATGTACAGCATCCACCCATCCATCATATCTACTAGCATCCATTAACCTTCCCACTCATCCTCCCATTCAACCATCTCTCCACCTCTCCGTTTCTTGTTCCTAACACATCCATGCGCAGCACCTCAACTGTCCATCAATCCACCTGTCCACCCACCTGTCCATCTGCTGGGCTTATGGCGTCCATCCGTCTGCTTAGCCATAGGCCCATCCCTCATTCCTAACATAGCTATATGTAACACCTCTAATGTCCATTTGTCTGTCCATCCATCCATCCATCCATCCACCTACCTATCTACCTCTATACATGCACCTATCCACCCACCCATCCATCCATCAAATGGACTCATCCACCCCTTCATCCCTTGCATGTACCTGCCTCCACCTGCAGCACCCACATGTCTGTGTCCATCTGCCTGCCCAGTGCCTCGCCCCCTAAATCCACCCACCAGATCTGCCTGCCCTGGGTCTCAGGGCATCTCCTGGCTGTGACTTTGACCCCATGGCAAGGCTCAATGTCTCCTGGCTGTGACCTCAGGTCTGGGGGAATCCCAGGGTCTCCCGGCAGTGACCTCAACCCCAGGGGGGTCTCCCAGCCATGACCTCAGCCCTGAGTGGGTGTCCCAGCCTTGATCTCATCCTCAGGGACATCTCCCATCCATGACCTCAGCCCCAGGGGGGTCTTCCACCTGTGACCTCATCCCCAGGGAGGTCTCACAGCCATGACCTCAGCCCTGAGCAGGTGTCCCAGCCTTGACCTCAACCTCAGGGACATCTCCCAGCCATGACCTTATCCCCCAGAGCATCTCCCAGCCATGACCTCATCCCCAGGGGGGTCTCTGGAACATGACCCCATCCCCTTGCTCCTGCAGGTGAACGGGCATGTGGTGCAGCTGCCAGCTCAGCCCTCGGCAGCAGTATCAGTGAAGCTGGCCCAGGACAAAGTGACGGTGGCCCAGGGCAAGGCGCTGCGGGTGCAACTGAGCCGCGGTGGGGATGTGCGGGTGGTGGCTTCAGGGCACCTGGCCAGGAAGCTCTCAGGGGCCTGTGGCAGCTTCAATGGCAACCGCGCTGATGACCTGCGCCTGCCCGATGGCACCGTGGCCCATAGCGTGAGCGAGCTAGTCGGCTACTGGCGCTTCACCGAGACCGTCGTGCATGGTACGGCTCCCATGTGACCCTTCTGCAGCTGCGCGGGAGCCAGAACCCCCTGCTCTCACCCCCAGCCCCCAGTGGTGGGATAGAATGTGTGTGTGTGTGTGTGTGTGTGTGTGTGATATGCCTGGGTTGTGTTTGGCGGTATGTGTGTCCTTGAGACCTGGGTTGTGTGTCTGTGTGTTAGGTGCCTGGGTTGTATATGTGTGCTTGTTTGTCTGAGTTTACATGTGTGTGTCCCAGATGCCTTGTGTGTGTGTGTGTCCCGGACACCTAGGGGGGTGGTGTGCACCTGGACACCTAGGTTCTGTGTGTGTGTCCGTGTGTGTGACTGTGTGCCCATCCCAGACAGCTGGGTTTGTGTGTGGGTGCGTGTACGCATGTGTGTATATCTGGGGCTTGCATTCCCTGTCCTGAGCAGCAGATGGCAGCAGAAGCCGAGCTGTGATTATGTGTATGTGCATGCGTGTGTGTGTTGTACACCTGGGTTGTGTATGTGTACGTGTGTGTCTGAATGTGTGTGCATATGTCCTAGATGCCTGTGTTCTGTGTGTGTTTGTATGTGTGCATATCCTGTACGCGCACGCACGTGTGTGTGTGTGTGTGTGTGTGTGTGTGTCCCAGACACCTGGGTTCGCTGTGTATACCCCATGTACCCCGCAGGGACCTGATTGTTTTCTCTCCCTCTTTCCAGGGGACAACAAGGACAAGAAGGACTGACCAGGCCCCAGCACACGGACCCCCCCAGCCTCCAAGACCCCCCTCCCCGCCTGAGACTCCCCTTCCCCTCCATCATGACTTTGCCTCAGTTTCCCCTGAGGCCTTCTGGTCTCCAAGGGTTATTTATATGTGGCTTCTGGTGTGCAGCCAGCTCTGGGGTGGAACAACTGCATTGAATGCTACAGAAGCTGGAGGCAGTGCTTGGGGCTGAGATGCAGCCAGTTTGGGTGTGACAGTTGGGGAATGGCAGCATATAATACCCCACTGCAAGGGCTCTTTTAGTGCCCAGATGCAGCCAGCTCAGGGGTGGAGCAGCTGAGGAACAGCAGCATATAACACCCCATAGCAAAGGATCCTCTAGTGCTCAGATGCAGCCAGCTCTGGGGTGGAACAGCTGGGGAATGGCCACATCTAACGCTTCAAGTAGAGAAGTGGGTCTTGCTTGATGCTGAGATGCAGCCAGCTCTGGAGCAGAACTGCTGGGGAACAGCTGCATATAACAGCCCATAGCAAGGGCTCTTCTAGTGCCCAGATGCAGCCAGCTCAGGGGTGGAGCAGCTGAGGAACAGCAGCATATAACACCCCATAGCAAGGCCTCCTTTAGTGCCCAGATGCAGCCAGTGCTGGGGTGGAGCAGCTGGGGAACAGCCGCATATAACACTTCAAATGGGGAGGGGGGTGTTGCTTGGGGCTGGGATGCAGCCAGCTCTGTGGTGTGACAGCTGAGCACCGGCTGCATATAACAGTGGGGGGGTGGGGGCCCTCTTAACTGGTGATGGGATGTAGCTAGCTCTGGGGTGGAGCAGCTGGGGACCAGCAGCATGTAACGCTACACTGTGGGGGTGGGGATTTCCTGGTGATGGGATGCAGCCAGCGCTGGGGTGGGGAATGGTGGCATATAACACTGTCCTGGGAGGGGGCTCCCCTGTGCTGGGATGAAGCCAGCTCTGGGGTGGGACTTTGGGATGGGAAGGTGGAAAACGGCTTCGGAGACTGTGAATCAATAAAACGCTTATGGCAAAGGCTGCTGCAGTGTCAGAGCGGTTGTGTGAAAATGTGGAACGCACAAACACACAAAACCCAGGCATCCAGGACACACACAACTCCCAGGTGTCTGTGATGTATGCACACACACACACATATACACACAACAAAACCCAGGCATCCAGGGCACAGAGGGAACCCAGGTGTCCTGGACACACACACACAAAGAAACCAGGAGTCCAGGACATACACATACAGTAGCCAGGTGTCTGGGATGCACAGATGCACACACACACAGATGTCCAGGGCATGTACACACACACACACACACAAAACCCAGGTGTCTGGGACACACACGCACAGTACTCAGGTGTCTGGCATGAACAGACGCGCACACACACACACACACACAGAACCTAGGATACCCCCCCCATCCAAGGGCCTCAGGGTGGGGCCCCTCTCACACCTGCCTTTCCTAATGCACCCAAGGGCTTTGGGCTCCGTGCCCCCATGGATGTCCCTGGGCACAGCTTGGGTCCTTCCCTACAGCCGCTCCCAGCCTCGTTGGCCCCCCAGGACCCTTCATTATTACTCCTGGTCCCCTCCGAAAATGCCCTGCCCTTGTCACACATTACACTTAGTGTGCACCACATGCCAATTACCACCAGCATGAGCCCAGGGCAAAGCCCCATGGTGCCACAATGGCCCCCTATACCCCGGGAACAGCCCTTGGTCATGGCATTTCCAGGGCATGCAGGAATCCCTCTCCATCCCCACATGCAATTAATATAATGTATGCCAGGTATTACGAGGCCCATGCAATCCAAACCCCAGACTTCAGGTCCTGCTCCGCTGCCCCAGGCCCAGCTCAGCCCTTGGCCTGCCCCAGTCGGTCTCTCAGGTGCTCCCCTGTGGGGAGGTGACAGTCCCACCCCAGCCCTGCCCGTGCCCCTCACTCCCACCCCACAGTCCCTGCCCCCCAACACTGCCAGTGCCCCTCACTTCCAACCTGCAGCCCCTGCCCCCCAGCCCTGCTGGTGCCCCTCACTCCTGACCCGCAGCCCCATGCCCCCCAGCCTGAGGGTGAGGTTGGGCTGGGGTGGGGGGGAACACAGGGGGCTGCATGTCAGGAGTGAGGGGCACTGGCAGGGCTAAGGCAGGGCAGGATGACTCAGAGCCAAGCCCTGCTCCCCCCCAGCCACATTTTCATAGCGGGACTCCCCCAGTGCCTGCTGATCCCCCCTGACTAGTTTATAGCAGGCCACAAGATCCCCCCTCAGCCTTCTCTTCTGGAGGCTGAACAGGTTCAGGTCCCGTAACCTTTCCTCATAGGACCTGCCCTGCTGTCCCTTGATCATGCGAGTGGCCCTCCTCTGGACCCTCTCGATGCTGTCCACATCCCTCTTAAAGTGCGGCTCCCAGAACTGGACGCAGTACTCCAGCTGCGGCCTGACCAGTGCCGCATAGAGGGGGAGGATCACCTCCTTGGTCCTGCTTGAAATGCATCTGTGGATGCACGACAAGGTACAGTTGGCCTTCCTAGTCGCCTCCCCACACTGCTGAGCCATGTTCCTCTTGGAGTCAATAATGACTCCAAGATCCTTTTCCACCTCCGTGCTGACAAGAGGGGAGTTCCCCAGCCTGTAGGTATGGTGCCGGTTGTTCCTCCCCAGGTGCATCA